TTATAGATTGAGCCGGGGGTGGGGATGGGAAAGAACTAGGTAAGCATGTCACACAGACTCCTACTATTCAGACTTGAAGCTCAGTATCTTTCCATCAAGAGCCAGCCACCTGTCGGTGTAGTGTGTGCCTGTGCTTGATTTTCAGAGGCCTGAATGGGTTGGTTTTGACAATTGTATCCAGTTTTATCACGTTTTTTTAGAGAGAGGACCTGCTGAACTACTCACTCCACCATACTGGAAGTCCGACCTCTGCATTGGTCTTTCTTACTAGCTCCTCAGCTGATTCTGGTGTGAAGTCAGGGTTGAGAATCACAGAGATAGGGTATGGTTACCGGAGGTTGAATCTTGATTTCACCTCATTCAATAAACCCTTATTGAACACTATCAGGCACTGGACACAGTGCTGAAGATATAAATGTAACTTTTAGGCCATCCCTCTCCTTGAATAGTCACAGGAGAGGGACAGATAGAGAAGAAAATCAGTAATGTAATATAATCATGAGCATATGTGGGTGGGTAGTGCTGGGTTTGGGAGCAGTGTCAGCAAAAGATAAAGCCTACAGCCCATCATTTTTTTCTAGAACATGCTGATAAATTGTCATAATTTTTCCAGAAAGTAATATAGCCATTAAGTAGATCCATACTTAATATAAGCAGGCATAGTTACTCATCCTGAGGAACTAGGACATTTTTTCACAATTATGTGATGATTATAAACATGACTTTGAAGAACTAGCTTTTGACTTCATGTAAAGTTTAATGAGCTTATTAATGCTTTATTTCTAATTGGACTGTGATGATTTCATAACCTCTATGTTCTGTGCTGTGCTTACTCAGTTGCATTCGACTTTTTGTGAGATGTGAATAAATTTAGGAATAGTTAATCAACATCAGAGTCATTATGGGCAGTGTGACATGTTGTGGTTTCCGAAGTGGGGAGTCCATGAAGGCAAGCCAAGGAAATGTAGGAAGATATATTAGCGCTTCTGTAGTTAAAAAAGTTAAATTTGGCCCTGAACATTTTTTTATTGGTTGAAATTTCACAAAGTGAGAATATTTATTCAGCAGTATATGTATAAAATTTATAAATAGACAGACATATATAGGTGACATGATCAAATATGTTTGGATCGAGAAGACTCAGACACAAAGTTGAAGGCCACTGGTATAGAGGAAAGAGCACTAACCTATGTGGGTGCTGGTCCTAGTTCACCTACCAACTTGCCAGGTAAACTTGGGCAAGTTACAAAGACACTCTAGGTCTTCATCTATAAAGCAAGGAGGGTGGTGTAAAGGTCCCTGAGATCTCTTCCAGTTCAGTGATTCTATAGTAGTTTTGTTCTTGTTTTTCCTGTCGAGAATAATTGTGAAGTTGTACAAGTAGAAGGTTATGTTGTTGTTCAGTATTTGAACTAGATGAAGTGCAAGTTTATTTCTGAGTCCCTGGAACATTTCTAGAGAGAGCTTTCTCCTGGGCTATATCCCTTCTCTGGGGTGCTGCTGGTCATAGATGTGATGATGTCAAACAAACCGTGACATATCCTTAAATTCTACTAACTTTAGTCATATTAACAGAGGACATACCACAATTAGTAGTGGAGTACAGGTAGATGTACCTAGACACAGTTACAGATGCGTGGGTACATGTGCACACACAAATCAATCCTTACCTATAGTTTCAAAGCTTACCTTAGTTTCAGGGACTTCCCAGGTGGCTCAGTGGTAGAGAATGCACCTGCCAGTGCAGGAGACACGGGTTTGATCTCTGGGTCATGAAGATCCCCTGCATAAGGAAATGACAACCTACTCCAGTATTCTTGCCTGGGAAGTCCCGTGGACAGAGGTGCCTGGAGGGCTACAGTTCATAGACTCGCAGAGTCAGACACGACTCAGCCACTAAACACAGTAGCTTATTTTCACTGCCTTCGTAATTTGAAATTCAGAAAGAATCAAGATTTAAGACATAAAGAACATTAAATATAGTTTTAATAGTTAAAAGACCACATTGATCCATACATATCAAACTTAAAGTGTCTACTCAGAAACTGGCTTTTGAGACAGGATTATATTCAAAATTTAGATGCAACTAAAAGCCCAAGAGGTTAGCAAGCCTTTATTTAGCTCTTTGATGTAACTTCAAAGAAATTCAAATTTAAAAAAGAAATTTAAATTTTACATTTTCTATTGAACTCCTTTAAAAACATTATTTGACTTTAAAATTTGATAGAGTAAGATGTTAGGTTTCCATGTTCTTGGGTCATAACAAAAGAAACAATTGATGGCTTTTCTTCACATAATTAGTTACACAATTATTGCATAGTCAGTTTCTTAAAATTTCATCTGATTGAGTTTTGTTTGTTAATTTTGATAAATGACTTAACATTTCCAAATAGTCTGTTAGCACAGTATTTTGACTTTTAATCCTAAATACACTCTTTTTGTTAGCTTGAAGAAACTTTAGAGAGCATAGCAAATGTTTGATATCTTCTAAGTACTTTGGATTTTCTAAATAATACTATATAATATATAAAATCACAGTGCTTTTATGAAGTCTTTTGTTCCAAATGAAATATGACATAAAAACTAATGATAGTCCCATAAATCTTTACTATAAAGTTCAACTATTAAAAATTGTCTGCTGTGATTTACCTGTGAGAATAGAATAATCACATTCTGGCATATTGTATGCAACAAATGCTTCGTTGAAAGATTTATCTTAAAGGAAAAAAATGACTGAAAAAAAAGGAACAACAATACAACAAAAAGAATGACAAATCATGACTTTTATTTTTTAATTGAAGGATAATTGATTTACAGAATTTTGTTGTTTCTGTCAAACAGCATGAATCAACTGTAGTTATATATATGTCCCCTTTTAATATAAGCAAACATTGAAAATATGCTCATGAGGATATGAATGTAGACAGTAGAATGAAAATAAATAGTAAAAAGAGCAAAAACAGAGAAATGAGAAAAATTAGAAAATGCGAATGTTCTATAAATAGAAAAAAAGCTCAAACTCCATAATTAATTTTATTTTGTACAGTAATGGAATTAAAGGAGTGATGGAAAATACCATTTTAAACTTAGACCTGTATTAGCACAGCCTGTACTTTGTAACTCACTAAGGGTTTAGAATGCAATCATTTTGCTGTTGCTTGGAACAGCCATCCAGGAACAAATTTCACTGAGCCTTCCAACTGGTAACCAATCCACAAGCTTGAATTCAAGGTTCTAACCTTTAGTATTAATGCTGATCATAGAATAAGAGCTACATATTCACCCTGGGGGAGGGGCAGTTAGTGGGGGAGGGAGAGGTTTGTTATTTCCATGCTATCCCTCCACTCCAGGAATTAAAGTCTGTAGCCCACCCTATACTCCCAGGCCCAGAACCACTGTACTCCCAGGGCTTCCCAGAAGCCCAAGAGTTCTGTGTTGCTTGCTTAGCAGAGGATAGTTTCTTTGCATTATTGTGTATCCATTTAGTACTATGTCTATGCACTGCCTTCTTTTGATCTAAGTAATCCCTGCTTTTCGTAATGTTTTTTAAAGATTGAGAAACAATCAAGGTTTGGACTCTTTGGAAGGTTTTTTTCTGTTTTAACCAGGCAGCTTGGTTTTTCCATGCCACACCATTCACATGCTTCATTTTCTTTTCAAATTTTCTTGACAGTAGGGACCTTTTAAAAAATATATATTTATTTTATTTTTAATTGGAGGGTAATTGCTTTACAATATTGTGATGGTTTCTGCCATGCATCAACATGAGTCGGCCATCGGTATATATCCCCTCTCTCTTGAACCTCCCTCCTGCCTCCTTCCCCACCCCAACCCTCTAGGTTGTCACAGAGACTAGCCTTGGGTTCCCTGCATCATACAGCAAACTCCCCTGGCTATCTATTTTACATATAGTAACAAATATATTTCAATGCTCTTCTCTCAAATCATCCCACCTTCTCCTTTCCTCACTGTCCAAAATTCTGTCCATTATGTCTGTGTGTCCTTTGCTATCCTGCACATAGGATCATCCCTACCATCTTTCTAGATTCCATGTATTAGAGATCTTTTTAATATTAATTTTCAGTTTCAGAATCAATTCAAGTCTATATAAAAATTGCAAGGGTCATACAGAGTTTCTGTACGATTTCTTATTGTGACTTTCTATCATTACAATGGAGACTTTTAAGCTGAGTCCATGGATCGACTTCAGAGATTCCATGAACTCCTGAAATTTATGCCGAATTCTGCATTTGAATTAAAATGCATTTCATTTCATCCAAGAACTATATAAAGATTATACTTTTAATGTCATCAATCCTTTTCTCTAGGTGCAATCTCAGCTGTCTTGTTTTCCACTCTAACACATTTTTTGCTCTATTAGAACAATAGCTGCCTCCAAGCAACACGTGCACCAGTATGCATGGGTGGATTTTTGTGTGTACTACAGCATTATCAAAAGGTTCTTTATCAAATCTGTAATTTTCCGAGTCACTTGATGCTGTGTGTTCATCTAAAATATATTAATTCTGTTGTTTAATGAGCTCAGTGTTCTTTCAAATGGAGTCTACTACCTTATACAAAAACCTCAAGTTCAACCTCAAGGCCCTGAATTGCCTGGGCTCTCCATACAGAAAACTTGCTTTATTTTTGTTTATCAATCCTCTGAAAGCATTTGCATGCACAATGTATCCAAACCATTCATGTAGGCTGCCTACATTTCCAACATAAATTTAACAGCAAAGGGTATTCGGAAATATTACCAAAGCACAGCTGCTTCCCCCTGAAACTTTAATGAGAAAAAGCCATGAAATTACTACAGACCTATTTTTCTTATGTCTGGATAGACTGCATTATGTGAGGTCATTTTCACTCTATTTTAGTTCTAAAGATAGAAGATAATTATGACATTAGCCATCTAGGAGTCTATGCAACACTCCTAAATTTAAAACTTTAAAAAATTTTTTAAATTATTGACTAACATTAGTGTGTTTTTTTGTCAGACTTACAGATTCCAGTCTGATGTTAGGTTATTCATCCAAGTTGAGCCCCCAAACAAAGAGAGCCAAGAAGAGCCTTCTCTCTGGAGAGGAGAAAGAAAATCTGCCAAGTGACTACATGGTGCCTATTTTCTCAGGACGGTATGTATGGATTCTCTCCCTGGATCTGATTTTTAGAAAGTGGAGAGGGACTTCCCTGGTGGAACTATTTAAAATTAAGACTTCACACTCCCAATGCAGAGGGCAGGGGTTTGATCCCTGGTCAAGGGACTAAATCTCACATGCCACAACTACGAGTTTGCATGCCACAGTGAAGATCGGGGATCCTGCATACTGCAACTAAGACCCAGTGCAGACAAGTTAATGAATTAATTATTTTAAAAAAGAAGTGGGGAATAAATGTTTTCAGGTAGTAATAGTAATATCAACTATGATTTATTGAGCATTTACTTTGTACTGGTTGAGAAAGGTCTGAGGAACCTTGGAACTGTGCACAGTGGGAGATGAGATCATTGTAAAAATGTTTGCCATCACATAGGATGGCTATATGACCACAAAGATTGATTAGAGACTTATTTCTAATTATGTAACTAGTTGAAACTAGAAGCAAGGTATTGGATGCTAGTGATTGGACACTATATACAGGTGCTATAGTTAAGGCACAAAGAAAGGTTAAAACTATAAAGTATTGGGTAAACTAAAAGAAAAAAATCAAATGATATATTTAGGTAGATTGGTTGCCAGTGTGGTTTTAATTATTATTCATTAGGAAGAAAAAAATCCTTAGAAATGTAGACTAACTAAAAGCATTGCACCATAGCTTGAATGCCTGGCTTATATTTGTTAAATATAAAATAGATTACTATTTATTTTGAGATAAAATTCAAACAAAGTAATCACTAAATCTCAAGTCTGTGTAATGCCAAATTTCTGTTTATAATATAAACATTTTTGAATGATAATATATACAAAGAAATCTTGAAAGGAGACTTGTCTAAGACACCAAATTAAAGTTTAACAGAAACTTTCTGAGCCTTCCCTGTTTTTTTTCCTTTGAATGGAGATTATTCACAGAGCTAATGTGATGTTCAAAACGAGGTCGCCCTCTCCGGGCAAACGCTATCTGGAAAATCAGTAGGAAATAACTTGGCTGTGATTTTTGATGACCTACTTCTGTTTCCCTGCATTTTCTCTTCCCATTGCTTTTTGATGGTTCCTTTCCCAATTGCTTCAGAGGCTGATGTCATAATTGCTGCAAACCTACTTAGGAAAGGGATAAACAATATTCTATTTTTAGCTTTTTATTTTATATCTTTGATTTTTTATATCTGATTTTTTAAACTGAGCTTTACAGACAAACAGGCTTATATTGTGAAGTATGCTTGTCTAGACTCAGCTTCTTCACAGTTGGTTTAATAGCACTCATATTCCTTTCAGGAGATGATTAGGTTGGAGGAGAAAAATATTTAAATTTTGTGCTTTAAAAAAAAAAATCATTTAAAAGTCATGTCAGCTTAGCATTAACCTATATGGCACGACTCTCCACCTGTGCGGGCACAAAATTAAATTTCTCACTCTCTCCAGCTTCTTCCTGCGCTTTTCCCACTAAACCATTTTGTCCCCTCCAGACCAGTCTCAAAAACTTATTTACAGAATAAGCCATGATAAATGAAATTTTTAATAAAAAATTTATATTCTAGGTTTTATTTCCAGTTTTTCTTCATTTTTTATATGGAGCCATCTCCTATATCCTATTACTATGAAGATAACACTTCTTAATGATGTTCACAGTATTAACATCTAAGAGGACAGGAAAGTAATGAACATTTGTTGAGTACCTGTTGTTTGCTGGAAATCACTGTAAGTGCATTATATATAAACCATCCTTCTAAGTCCTCCATTCAGCCCTGGAGAGGTATTGGTGTGTCAATTTTTTGCACAAGGAAATCAAGACACTTGTAATGGTTGAGCTAAGAGTCCCACTAGGGCTGGCAAATGCAAATATAGTACATTTTTGGAGAATACGATTTCTTCTGGACGGCACTTGAAAATTCCACTTCTTACAGTCTAGGTAGGGCTTCCCAGGTGACCCTAGTGGTAAAGATCCCAGCTATCAATGCAGGAGACATAAAAGACATGGGTTTGATCCCTGGTTAGGAAGATCCCCTGAAGGAGGGCACAGCAACCCACTCCAATATTCTTGCCTGGACAGAGGAGCCTGGTTGGCTATAGCCCATAGGGTCGCAGAGAGTCAAAGACGACTGAAGCGACTTAGCACACATGCACAGTCTAAGTAGAGCTAACTTTATGTCAGCAACACGTTTTAAATTGAGACAGAGGATTGGAAAGGTTTTAAATTTATTTGAAACTTTCAGGAGTGTGTTTTTGATGTTAGCATCATATTCTTGCTCTTATACCCAGATTATAGCAGGGTTATCACTGACATACACATATGCACTTACTTAAAGGCAAATGGCCCTGCTGTTCTGGGTCAAAAATATGTTTTAAGTGTACTTAAATTAGTGAGTTTTCCTAATTGCAGTTGCCACCCCCCGCCCCATCCCCAACACCTGTGTCCTGTGGCATATGGGATCTTCCCAGACCAGGGGTCAAACCCATGTCCCCTGCATTGGCAGGCTGATTCTTATCCACTGTACCACCAGGGAAGTCCCTCATAACCTTTATTATTTTGGAAAGGAAACCTGCTAGGCATAAGGATCACACATACATTTATAGCTTATTTATGTGTGCAGCAGCTCTGGGCAATGCATTCCATCATCTGAGTTACAGAATCCAGATCAAGCGCATTAGTCATAAATCAGAAACCCAGTCACACAACTGTCTGTCATTTTACAATGCTGTCTTTTCTAGGTGGAAGTTATAAATTAATATTTTATTACAGACTAAACTGTGTTTAAACACACTAAGGAAACCAAAGAAATGATGTTGCTCAAGTTAGCTTACTTCTCTGGGCCTTGTTACCATATGTCTAAAGTAGAAAGGATACAGTTTACTTCAAAGGGTTGTTGTGGGGGAAAATGAGATAATTTATGCAAAAAGCACTTGGCAGAGCACCCTGGCCATAATAGGTATTACTATTGTCATTATCATTTGTTAAGGTGACGATCACATCCATGTGTGAAGAGTTAGCTCCTATGGGCCAGTGTGTTGTATGTCAGGTTCTACTTGGGCACAGTGTACATCTGAGGTCTGGTGCTTTGAACTTGGCAAAATTGGGCCATCTTATCACTGACATCCACAATAGCCATATTTTGTTGTTATTTTATTTTAGCCAAGTGCATGTCAGTGGAATTACAGATACGGAAGAGCAAAGAATTAAAGAAGCTGCTGCTTACATAGCCCAGAGGAATCTCCTTGCTAGTGAGGAAGGCATAACAGCCAGCAAGCAGTCCTCAGTATCTAAGCAGTCCATGTCCACGCTTCACCAAGAAGAGGCCTTTGAGAAGAAGTCAAGGAAAGTTGCCATTCGAGAAAAGGCAGAACATCTGTCACTGAAAAAAACGGTAAGAAAAGACAATTTAACGTAACTTGGAAAAGTGTAAGTGCCACCACGACATATAAAATGGGTTTCCCTGGTGGATCAAATGGTAAAGAATCTGCCTGCAATGCAGGAGACCTGGGTTCAATCCCTGGGTTGGGAAGATCCCCTGGAGGAGGGCATGGCAACCCACTCCAGTATTCTTGCCTGGAGAATCCTGTGGACAGAGAAGCTAATAAGGACCTACTCTAGAGCACAGGGAACCCTACGTAATACTCTGTAATGATCTACGTGGGAATAGAATCTAAGAGTGTTTACATGTATCTGTATAACTGATTCACTTTGCTGTGCACAGCAACTAATACAGCATTGTAAATCAACTCTACTGCCGTAAAAATCCATCTTAACAAAGTAGAAATGCATGCAGCATGTGCATGTGTGTAATATAGACTAATTAGTTTCAAATGAAGAAATGTGTGGTCTTGTGGAGAAACAACTAAGAAAAAAGGGGAAAAGACATCAAAATGTGCAGTTCAAAGAAAGACAGACTTTATAGTTTTAAATTCTGTGAAATTTTAGGTTCTACAGAAATTAAAGTTCTTGAGAACCTTAAGAAATCCACCTTTGGAAAGTACAATATGTTGTTGCTCAGGCTTAGAATGTTAAAAATTAAGTGATATGTCTATTTTTTTAAAGGGATGAGGGGAATTCGTTTGCTCCAAATACCAGAGTAAGACTCCAAATGAAAAAATGATCATTTTGATTTCTACATTTCATTTTTGTAGCACGTTACTTTGATTTCATGTCTTGATAATTTTTTTCAGTTAGAAGAAACCGAGGCATTTCATAAAAAGTTGAATGAAGATAATCTTCTCCATGCTCCTGAATTTGTCATTAAACCTCGTTCTCATACTGTTTGGGAGAAAGAAAATGTAAAATTACACTGCTCTATAGCTGGCTGGCCAGAACCTCGTGTCACATGGTACGCTACCTTTTTGAAAGCTTCTCATAGAATTGATTACCCAAAGTTAATTTTAAATCCTGTGAACACATGTGGATTTATGAACATGCAAGAGTCAGTGAAAGCATCTGTAAGTTCGAGTAACTTTTTTTAAATAGTGAAGAAAGAATACATGCATGGAAGGAAGAATGATTTTGCATCCATTATAATTTATTATGATACTTTATAATATTCTTATACAAATGGGTCTTTATCTTACATAAAGTGTTAAAATTTAGTCAGCATATTTATTTGGTAACATTTTGTGATGAAAACAATGCCACCTTTTAGAGAAATAAAGCCCAGAGGGCTTCATCTCTAGTCTTCATGTGAGCTGAGGTCCTAGTTTCTAAAGCCAAACAAGGACGGGGAGCTGTTTCTAACATGAGGTCTGAAGAAACTTTCATTCCATAAAGAAGAAGCTCCCCTTCTTCCCGTCCATTATATATCCTATTGCAATTGTCAGTGACTTGGTAACCCCTAAAATCAGAACTCATGTGGCATGAATGTCTGCCATGGAGAGTGGGAATCTGAAGAGGATTGTAAACCAGTTTTAAAAGGTGTTTTCTGCCTTATTCTACAATGTGGGTATTTTGCATGCTGCTTTCTTACCCTTGGGAGTGTGGTAAATGCCCTGTGTCCCAGTATAAACACTGCAGAGAATGGTACTGTTGCCCACAGGGCACCAGCTCCTTCTCCCTTTTCTGTCATTTCTGATGTTGTTTGGACACCTGGCTTACATAATGGAGACTGACAAGATAAACCCTTACCTAAGGTTGTTCTTAAGGAGCAAGTGGTGAGTTTTGGTTTTTTTTAATTCACCTATAATATCAACCTGCCTGTGATCAAATTGGATTTACATACAGTTTTTCTTGTACATAAACTTTTACAAACTTTTCCCAGGGTTCTTGAGTTTGAAAGTGAGAGAATGAAAAACAAAGCCAGTTCTGTATTACCAAGACAATATTTTATAGTAAACAAAGATGAGAAGTGTGAGAACATATTTAAATGAAAATGAAGTTAAAAAAAAAATCAATTTCCAAGCTTTAGAAGTATGAGTATACTATAGTAAGCTGGGCTTCCCTGGTGGCTCAGTTGGTAAAGAATCCACCTGCAATGCGGGAGACCTGGGTTCGATCCCTGTGTTGGGAAGATCGCTTGGAGAAGGAAATGGCAACCCACTCCAGTATCCTGGACTAAGTCCATGAGGTTAGAAAGAGCTGGACACGACTGACAAACATAGTAAGCTAGGAATCCATTCATCTTTACCCCCTGCCTTTTTCTCTGCCTATTGGGTTGTGTAGATTGGCGTATAAAAGGGACATTTCCTCTTAAAAACTGATTACTTTCTACCTCAGAAAAAATTCAAACTTCCCTGTAGAAATTCATAAAGAGGGACTTCCCCAGCAGTCCAGTGATTAAGACTCTGCCTTCCAATACAGGGAATGTGGGTTCGATCCCTGGTTGAGGAGCTAAGATCCCAGAAGTTGTGTGGTTTGGCAAAAAAAAAAAAAAGAGAAATACATAAAGAATAACAAATTTTTAGCTCTGAGAAATATTACTTGATGAGTAAAAAATTCCTCATGTTTCATGAATTAAAATATACTACCGGTAAATGAATAATTGGAGTCTTTAAGTAGATATATTTATTACACAGTGTCCTATCTCTGCTTTCCTGATTTTTAAACATCAGAGTTAAAGATGATTTTCAAAAAAATACACAGTGATCTCTAGGAGATAAATATTAATTTCTTAAGCATGTACTTATTCTGTGAAATACACAGTAACTAGAATACAAACATGCCATGTACCACTGATGGTGTCACTAAAGCCAGAGTCATGAGGTTCCACAAAGTCAGAGCTCAAATTCCATTGGAGGTTAAACTCCTCACATGGTGTTCTTGGGCTGAAAAAGGAGTGATTTAAAAACAAACAAAAGGACATAAACTCCACTGAAAAAATATGAGATGTCTAAACTTGGCAACTCTGAAAATTCCAGTCAAATTTAAAAATAGAAATACTGTCAGTTTTTAGTTATCCTCACTGGGAGTATGATTGACCCCTCAAATCTTTCATGTTTAAGCTTTGAAATATTTATTTCCTTAACATGTGAATTTTATGGCATCAGGGCTCATTTTAATAAAAAACAAAGGCACAGAGACAAGATTTGTCTCAGGAAGGACTGGAAGGCTATTCGTTGACTGGGACGTCTTCTCTAGTTCCTGCGCCTGCTTTGGTGCTTGGAGAACACAAATCCATTCTGTTCAGAAACTCTTCCAGGAGGGACGAATCAGAGCACTTCACACAAAGCTCTGTTTCCTTGCAAGTCAAGTGGGAAGTAAATATGAAAACAAAAGAACCAGTGGACCACTGAGAAAATAGTTTACCTTCCTTTAGCGTGCAAGGTTTGCCCCTAGATAAAGCTGAAATTTGGACAATCAGCTATCAGATAGCTAGTTCTTAGCTAAGAACTGGTTCTGGCAATAGCCAAGGTCAGATTAAGGTTTTGTGGGGCAGGAGGGATATACAATTTGAAGAGCATCCTTTGTTAAAAAAAGATTATAAAGTTAGTCACATGCATTAAGCACAGAGCCTTATGGGGACCTGTGATGATGAGAGACCCTGCAACTTCAGCTTTACTAGTTTCAAGGTAAATCCACTTCTAGGAGTAAATTTCATGTGGGATTAATATATTAATACCTTCCTGGGTGTGCTGCTTTTTAAAAAATAATCATTCAATGAAGCTCTAATTTACTTTGCAAGGTGCTGGTCCAGATTACACAATCTTCAGTGAGCATCCTCCCCCTCAACGAGCAGGGAACCCACAACTCAAGCGAGAACCAAAATGTTGGTAATTTATTTGCTGGCCTTGATATCTCTTTTGTACCGAGCTGCAGCCTCCTGGGCCTGACTCTGAGTACAAGGATGAGAAAAACCATTGAGAATGACCTTCGTGAATAGAACAAGGTCAAGTACAGAAACAAGTTTCCAATGCTGCGGGCAGTTGTGCTGTCTCCACTTAGGTCCTAAGCCACATCTTTCAAAGTCATATGTGCACAGGGTCTGACTCCCTAAGACTCCTTTCCAAGGAACATTCAGTTCCAGGTTTCCACTGGCACCCTCAGGCCATGGAAATCCCTGAGGTTGAACAAACGATATCAGCATGCTGCAGCTGCTCTTCAGCCAGCCCCTGGCATACTGACTAAATCTGGATGGAGTCTAGAGGGTACCTGGAGAGCGCTTACTGACAGGCGGGCCCATCACTCATCACCATCACTCATCACGGCCAGGTGCAGAGATGCTGAGCAGCACTGCCCTATTCCAGTTCACCTTCAGAGCAGAAGGAAGCCTGTGGGCCTCGGGTTCAGGAGGAAAGTTAGTTTCAGAAGACACAGGAGTGAAGCTGGCCATCCAGGTGGGGGGCTAGCCAACAGAGAAGGAGAAATATATATGTGGTGAAAAACCAGTTGTTTAATTTAATAGGTTATATTTATATAATGACTTGTTTAATAGGCAGTATATTGTTGTAAAGGGGGGAGGAAAAGCATTTATGTTTGTATCTTTATTGCCTGCATAAAGAAGCTGGAAGGACATATAAGAACCTAAGGAGACCAGTTAGCTGTGGGGAGGAGCTGGGCAGAAGGCAGATAGGTGTGAGAAAAGAGAATGTTCCCTGGGCATCCCTATATTTTCTGATTCTTGGATCATATGCTCACATTGCCTGGTCAGATTGTAAGAAGCTATATGAAATAGGGGAGAAAAGTTCTCTTTAAAAGAAAGAGAATTAGATTAGTTGTACCCCCTCTTTTTTTAGAGAGCCAGATTTAATTGTATTTTAAGCCCAAAGTCTAGATTGATTTTTGTCAGTGGAAATTGGGATTATATAATCTGCAGGGAGGCTCACGCCAACTCCTGGAACAATATGTTGTTATTATCACGTAAAACTCATGTGTTCACACACTCAGTGTCCTTGTTTTCAGATTTATATGTGGATCCTGGGCTACAGTCCATGGGGTTGCAAAGAGTCGAACTGGAGCAACTTAGCACCTGGGTTAGATCCTCATGCAAGACACTTAAAATACATATTTGAAATTCTTTGCATTATCCCTGAAGTCATTGCCACTTCAGGGATAGTGTGAAGATAAATAGATACTTTAACTTGTCAGTGAACATGATCATAGTTCAAAACCTAGGGATAATATAGTATGAGAAATGTATTTTAGGAAGAGTCTGGAGATTTGGAAAAGTCTTATTTTATTTTTGCAAATTGTGAGAATTCTTAAATTCCACGGTAGAATTAATGCATTGAATTTTTTACAAGATTAGAGTTATTCACAGTGTATTTAAATTTAGCAATTACTGACATATTATTGTAGGAAAACAACCTGCATTTAAAATATTAAAAATTCTTTATAATTACTTTTGAAGTATAAGGATTTGGGATTTTATTTTAGATTTTTCTTATTTACATCCAAATTCTATGCTAAAGAAGAGTTAGCTCTCAGCTAATTGGTTTTTAAAGTGAGTATTGGCTGTTTGTTCAAAACAATAGGGTTGCATTCTAACCACACTTTTGGGGGAAGGGGATTCAACATGACAGAGATAATTTTGGCAGCATTATTTGCTGACAAAGATAAATTAGAGTGAAGTCCTTTTGTTTGACCACACTTTACACTGCCAAAGAGCTTTCACTGTAATCCCTTGTTATCAAATTCAGCCTAGTATCCAGACAGACATTTGTTTGAGGAAAATAAGTGTGTATTTTACGTACATAAATGAAGAGTATTAGTCTAGAAATAATGTGTAACAGAAGTTCATTAACTAGTCGTTCATACAACTTTACATGAAAATGATGAGGAAAAGGGTGTACATATAAATACTCACAAGAATTTCAGAAACCTGATAAATAGTCCCAGGGTGTAGATTACTCTCTAAAATTAGCTGATGAGTGGCCAGTTTGGAATTTCACTTTCCAGAAATAACAAGCTGTGAAGTGTACACAGAGCAGGCCTCAAATTCTCCTTTTCTGCTCTGATTTGATAGTGAAGACAGTCAATCACAAGTGGTTCTGAACCCGAGTGTCTCGCAAGGAGAATTCCTTGGAGAACAGATTTGAATAGCTTCCTCATTTAATCCTTGTCTGCTGCTTTAAAACAGGTGCTTCTTACACTGACATATAGAGTCCCAGTGGAGAGAAAATGTGTGTGTGTGTGTGTGTGTGTGTGTGAGAGAGAGAGAGAGAGAAATCTATTTCAAGTGGTCACGTTAGAAAACTGGGGGAAAGGCATTGAGCTACTAAGTCACACAGGACTGGAGTAGCGGTCCCCAGACTCTGGGATCTAGTGCCTGATGATCTGAGGTGGTGCTGATGTAAAAATAATAGAAATAAAGTGCACAATAAATGTAATGTGCTTGAATCATCCTGAAACCAGCCCCCGTCCCCTGGTCTGTGGAAAAATTTCCTTCCATGAAACTGGTCCCAGGTGCTGAAAAGGTTGGGGACTGCTGGACCGAAGGACAAGGAAGGTGAAGCAAGACTAAGAGCTGCAAATGCTATTTTAATTCAAACTTTATGGAAACATGAACATCATTTTTGGTCAGAAGCCAAATCAAGCGTCACTCAGTTGTTTGGTCAAGTAGCACCGGTCACACACATTTGGTGTCTTTTATATCTTCTTATGTTGGGAAGAAATACTGAAAATACCCCAGCACAAAGTAAACTGAGCAAAAAGAAGCTTCTGAGTCAGGTGTGAAATGACCGAAACCGATTCAGTCAGGAGAACATGCTCATGATTAATGTGATCGACCCTGTCATTCATCCAAACTAGGAATGTTCCAAATTAAGAGCAGCCAGCAGATTGCTTTTTACAGCCCATCTCTGATCAAACAGTCCTGTCCGCCTGGAGCCCTGTGGGGGGACAGCTGTTGAGGCCGTTTCTGGACTGTCAGAAACAGCTAAGAATGATTCCCAAGGGTGGGGCGGAAGGCCGTGCCCCTACACCTGCTACACAGCTGCGATTCCTAAGCCAGTCCAGCCTCCCATTTCACATCCAAGGAAACCAAGACACAAACAGCCTCAGCATACCTTCTTCATCTGCGCTGATTTTAAATTATCCATATCATGAAAGATGGATTTGTCAGAACTCTGCTCCTTCACCAAAATTCAAGAAGCACAATTGAATTTATGATGTTACCCAATGACTCTGTTCAGTCCAATTTAATACAACACTGCCTAATATTTTCCTGGGATGGCTGCTTCCTTGAGAGTGGGAATAGAAATCAGTACGGCTCTGACAGAATCCCCATCTTCAAGGCACTCACTGTTTAGCAGAAGTGACACTTACCCAACCATAATTTGATTAATGTTATACCTTCCCATTTGAACCAAGTAACACTGATGCGAAGAGGTGGGAATGATGTTGTGTGGAATTTCAGGGAGGAGATTATTGAATAAGTGGTATTTGATCAGAGCCTTGAAGGATGAGTTGGAATTTTGCTACATGGAGAATGGTGTATTTTCTAAAGTGTAGAGAAGGGTGCATTTTAGGGACATAGGGCATGAGTGTGAGTGTGTATGTGTGTTTATGTGTGTGTGTACACAAGCTGGGGAGAGGAAAGGACTGGCTGAGGATTACTTCCTTTCTCTTTCCCTTTCTGTAACTTCCCTTGCTCCCAAATCTGCTTATAACCATGTCCAAAAATCTGAAGAAATAAAATGCAGCTAAATAGAGAATTGGGCTTCCCTGTTGGCTCAGTGGTAAAGAATCCACCTGCTAAGCAGGAGACATGAGTTTGATCCCTGGGTCAGGACGATCCCCTGGAGAATTTAATGGCAACACACTCCAGTATTCTTATCTGGAAAATCCCACGGACAGAGGAACCTGGTGGGCTACAGTTCCTGTGGTGGCAAAAAGTTGGACATGACTTAGCGACTAAACAGTAACAAGAAATAGAGAACAGTTGGAAAATGGAAGCATCCCATGTTGTCAGGAGCCAGATCGCCTGGGTTCAGATCCCAGCTCTGCTGTTTTAGCTGTTAAAGCTGGGGCAGGCTACTTAACCATTCTGTGCCCGGGGTTTCTTCATCTGGAGAATGATGTTAAAAGTAGTAGCACTGGGAATTCCCTGGTGGTCCAATGGCTGGGACTCTGAGCTCCCAATGCACGGGGCCCAGGTTCAATCCCTGGTTGGGGAGCTAGACCTAGACCTCATGTGCCATAGCTAAAGATACTGTATGCTGCAACTAAGAGCCAGCACAGCCAAATGAAAATATATTTATATTCTTTAAAAAGTAGTGCAACCTTATGTGGTTGTTGTGAGGATTGAATTTACTAATCTAGACGTAAAGTACTTAGAGCCTTTCCCGACTCTCAGTAAATACTCTGTTTCTATTATGATTACTCGCATTATTTGTGATAACTATGCACATGAAGTGGAATGTCTGAAAAGGAAACAAATGAAATTTAGCTTCCCTTTTGGGCAGAAAATGGCTTAAGCATAAAAGCTAGGTCCAGCACCCATAGCTACTGGCTACTGAGGACATGAGGCTTCCCTGGTGGCTCAGATAGTAAAGACCGCTCCTGCCATTGCAGGAGCTGCAGGAAATGTGAGTCTGATCCCTGGGTGGGGAAGCTCCCCTGGAGTAGGAAATGGCAACCCACTCCAGTATTCTTGCCTGGAGAATCCCATGGACAGGGGAACCTGGCTGGCTATAGTCAATGGGGTTGCAAAGAGCTGGACACAACTGAACGACTGAGCACACATGAGAACATGAGGACGTGGTGATGAATCTTGGTGCAGACTCAGGGGCCAGTGTCTCAGGAGGGGCCCCTCCAGGGAGCCCCTGCCTCTCAAGACTGAGAGGCTTCATCAGGGATCGGCAGTCAGAAAAAGGGACTCTTTCAGCTTCTATTTATCATTAGTTTTCTTTCATGACCGATATTCTAAGTTCTTCCAAGCTGAGAGCTATGCTTGCTCATGACAAAATAAAACAAATATAATGAGCTTTCAATGCAATGACAAGGTTTTGAATAACATGCAGGAATGTCAGTGGGAAAGATGTTTTGCTTTCATCCTACACAGACCGCCAACAAAAAACCCACTCAAAGCCTTCCTCTCTGTTGTGTCAACAATGGTCTTCTTTCTTTTCATTTTTAAGATCATCTATTGGGGTATAATATGTACACAAAATAGTGTGGTATGGCATATAAAAGTAGAACTTTGATTAATTTTTGTAGACCACCTATACCCAGGTAACAAGCACCAAAATCAGGAAACCAAACATTATCAGCACCCAAGGGACTGCCTTCATCCTTGCCCCTTGCCCTGACTTCTAGCAGCATTAATTGATCTTTTCTTGTTTTGTACTTTGCGTAAAAAACAATCATTATACTCTTTTGTATCTGGCTCTTTCCACTCAAAATTATGTATGCAAGATTCAAACACATGGTTGTGAATGGCCAACTTCTTGAATGTAATTTTTTTTTCATTTATTTTTATTAGTTGGAGGCTAATTACTTTACAATATTGTTGTAATTTTTCAATAGAGGAGGGAAGCACATTCATCAAGAAAGTTTATGATACTTGTAATGAATTTTATTTGCATTTATTGAGCAGACACTGCTACTGACCTCTGTGCTATGTCTACAGATGTTTCTTCAAGAAGAACAATTGTGTGCGTGTTAATCATGAAGCTATTTACACCTCAACTTACTTCACCTCATTTCCATTGTCTCATAGGTATAAAAACCAGGTGCCAATAAATGTCCAGGCACATCCTGAAAAGTATATCATCGAAAGCCGATATGGAATGCACACTCTGGAGATAATCGGGTAAGAAACATCACGGGCTATGTATGTTGCCCGACAATTGCTTGGTGGGGGGTTCTCCCCTCTTCCTCCCTACACGGTGGTATCAGGATGGGGGACAGTCCCAAGTATTGCTTCTCTTGGTGCACGCCTATCAGTGATAATCATGACATTCTTACCAAGCCCATGTTACTGCCCAAAGTGATCTTTTGAATTTAGTCAAAGATGATGAGGAAAAATGCATTTGTATCTATTTAACCTTTTGTATGGGTTTCCCAGGGGCTCAGTGTTAAAGAATCCGCCTACCAATGCAGATGACTCAAGTACGATCCCTACGTTGGGAGGAAATGGCAATCCTCTCCAGTATTCTTGCTGAGAAAATCCCATAGACAGAAGAGCCTGACAGGCTACAGTCTCTGCGGTCGCAAAGAATCAGACATGACTGAGCAACTAAACAACAATCCTTTTATGTACTCGGGAGTTCTTCTCAGGTATTAGCAAGCAAAATAAGTTACAAAATAGGCATTTATATTCAGCAGTCTTCTCAGAGTCCCAAATCTGCACCAGCATTATACACATCTGCCTTTAATCAGTATAGGCCAATGAAGTTTGAGGTGGGTGACACTGAAAGTTAAGCTGGACCTAGAGAAATTGTTTTTTCCTTCAGCTCACGGGTAACTGTGTGGAAACTATGTACCCATTCTGCCAACCTGTAGATGGATGCAGGGCCTGACACTGGGAGGTTTTTTAAACCAGATCAACAGCAAAGATTTTAAATCATAATCCACATCAAAGATTCTGGGTCTTCAAAGGGGTATCATGTCTCCTAACATGGTTTTGAAATCCAAGCCTACTAATGTGGATGAAGAAGTTACACAAGCTCCCAGCATTTCCAGTTCAAATAAAACCATGATGTGCTGCGAAGTCAAAGTAGAATTTAAGTCATTTTAATCTCAGGGGATATATAGCTTTCTCAGATCAGAGAGGTTGACACAGGTCATACTCAGCTTCAAGCAGAACCCTAGGATCCTGGGATGATCTGCCAAGCAGGGACCCCTTCCTAAAGACCCATCCTTTCTGTCAGATGGTGATTCAAACAAGTTGGCAGGGAGCTGTGTGGTTGCTTTATAAATTAAATAAGCAACCATATTGACCCACCTGGGATTCTATTTATGTCTATAAAATCTCAACAAGAATTAAAATTTCACCAATGAAACTAAAGAACAGTGAAGAACACGAACCCTGGCAATGATGAAACAGCTTGCTTTGAAATCTTAGCCTGTTCATCTCTGCATGAGAGCCTTCTCTCTCTAAAGTGAAAGTGAAAGTCGCTCAGTTGAGTCAACTCCTTGCGACCCCATGGACTATAGCCCTTCAGGCCTCTCTGTCCCTGGAACTCTCCAGGCCAGAACACTGGAGTGGGTAGCTGTTCCCTTCCCCAGGGGATCTTCCCAACCCAGGGATCGAACCCGGGTCTCCCAAGACATCCCTATGTCTGCATCATAACTTAGGGGAACTTCCGAACTTCTTGTATTGTGTTGTGGGCCTGAACATTAGTAGAACTGAGGAGTAGATAATTTGTTTGTACTTTGAGGCTGAAACACAGAACCACACATTAGACAAACCTGAATCTGTTTGGGCATCTATAAGGAGAGGCTGTTTCTTTGTCTCTCTGTCACACTATAACAGCCAGACTGAAACCCATCCTGAGGGAGGCCCCTCCGGGTCTTACCTGCTACAAAGGTACATGACCAGACATTTTCTGTACCTTTTCATGATCATACGTTAATAATTGTCTTTTTAACAGATACAACTTTAAACCAACTTTTCATCACACTGTTCATGCTCTATATACTCAACACATTGTTGACTTTTATTTTTGGACATTTTAAATTAACTCAAGCTAGGGTCACAGTGGACTATAGCTGTTGGTAGGTAGATCTATTGCCCTATGTAAAATCCCACAGGGAGCTTGATCAGAAAGTGTAGTTTTGTCAAGAGTCCCAAAGAGTGGTGTGTTAACTGATGACGTGCTGTGTGTTGTGTTAGCAAAGAGATCCTTGACAAAACAGTCAAGAGTTACATCGGCCCGCCTTATCTGTAGAGACAGAACCCATGGGTACCGAGGCCTCAGCATACTACTCCATTTCACTTAAAACAGGGGCCCCAATCCCCCAGCTGAGGACCAATACCTGTCCTGTTCCATGGTTGTTAGGATCGGGGTGGCACAGCAGGAGGTGAGCGGTAGACAAGTGAACTAAGCTTCATTTGCCGCTCCCCATTGCTTCCATTGCTGCCTGAACCAATAGCCCCCTGCCTCTGCCAGTGCCCCACCCCTGGAAAAATTGTCTTCCATGAAACTGGTCCCTGGTGCCAAAAAAGTTGGGGACCACTGACTTAAGGGACTTTAGCCTTCTTGGATTTTGTTAACCATGGGGGTCCTGGAACCAGTCCCCTGCAGATACTGAGGGACAACTGTACCAGGAGTGTCACTGGGCCGGGCACTCATCCCATCCATTCTTTCAGGTGTGATTTTGAAGACACGGCTCAGTACCGGGCCTCGGCGATGAATGCCAAAGGAGAACTTTCAGCATATGCTTCAGTTGTGGTAAAGAGTAGGTTTGCTGGACTTGTTTCATTCACAGTGTACTTTTAAAAAATTTATTCTCACTGCTAACATATAAACAGGTCAAGAAGCAGTTGTCAAGAATTGCTGCTTTCTTTTCTAGGATACAAGGGAGAGTTTGATGATACTCGCTTCCATTCGGGGGCTTCCACCTTGCCCCTCAGCTGTAAGTCTGAAAATATTTTTGCTGTGTCATCTCTGTACAATACTGTATAATAAGCTATTCCATAACACTGAAATAAATGCAGGTATACTAAGTCATTTCAGTTCTGTCCGACTCTTTGTGACCCACGGACTGTAGCCCGCCAGGCTCCTCTGTCCGTGGGATTCTCTGGGCAAGAATACTGGAGTGGGTTGCCATGCCTTCCTCCAGGGGATCTTCCCGACCCGGGGATGGAACTCATGTCTCTTCCGTCTCCTGTACTGGCAGATGGATTCTTTATCACTAGCGCCACCTGGGAAGCCCAAAATAAATGCACAGTCTATATTATAATATGTGCTAGTATGTATGTAATGGGTTTCCCAAGTGGCACTAGTGGTAAAGAACCTGCCTGTCAGTGCAGGAGACATAAGAGACGTGGATTCAATCCCTGGGTGGGGAAGATCCCCTGGAGGAGGGTATGGCAACCCACTCCAGTATTTGTGCCCAGAGAATCCCATGGACAGAGAAGGCTGGCAGGCTATAGTCCACAGGGTCGCAAAGAGTCGGACACGACTGAAGTGATTTAGCACATGTACGACTACCTATAGTTAGTTTTATTTTTTTAGATTCTTTGGCTACTGTATTCTCCTTCTGCTTATAATTGCTTTATTCTGGTTTTATAAAAGCCTGGATGTGATGGGCTAAAAATGGTAAGTCTTCCTTTCCTTAAGCTGAGAAAAATCATTACACAAACCTGCAGTGTGATTTAACCACACACACACATACATAGAGTCTGGACTGTATCAGGGCAGTGTTACTCATTCTTATATATCCAGTGTAGCATCATCTCCTTAAAAAGTCTCTGTTGACCCCCCACTTTACCTCAGTCCCCATCTACTTAGGTTATGTGTCCGGGTGAGGCTATGACACTTCTGTAAGGATATCTACTCTCTGGACACTAATTGTTAACTGTTTGCTCCCACTGACCCATGAATCACTTGAAGGCTAGGCTGGACTTTTTATCTTTGGACCCCAGCACCTGATACAGAGTAGTATTTGATGATGAATGAATAAATATATACACTGATTTACAAAATGCAATGTAAAATGAGGTCTAAGTGTGGTTTAATAACAAATTATTAGTATTCTGATCAATAGTAATTTATAAATTTGTGAACTTTGATCATGTCATCTGCATCAGAACTTCTTTTCATGGGAAGCAATAAAAGTAAAACCCTTATGGTTCTTCAGTAATTAGATGATAACTCTGTTCAGACTGGAAACGGTAGTCAAGCCCCAAATTCTTATTTTCCAAACATTAAAAAATAAGTGGTCATTTTGAAAATGGTTATGGAAATACTTACTCATGGGTCAGTTTTTCACCTAACTGATCGGATTGATGTCTCTCCATACTTCATGGTATATATAGTTAAGTTGCTCAGTCATGTCTGACTCTTTGCGACCCCATGGACTGTAGCCTACCAGGCTCCTCCATCCATGGGATTTTCCAGGCAAGTGTACTGGAGTGGATTGCCATTTCCTTCTCCAGAAGATCTTCCTGACCCAGGGGTTGAACCTGGGTCTCCCACATTGTAAGCAGACGCTTTACCATCTCAGCCACCAGGGAAGTCACCTATACTTCATGGAATGGCTCCTAATTTTAATATTCCTAGTTGCAATCATTGGTATCAATCCCATGCATGAGACGGAGTGCTGGGTGGGAGTGAGGAGGAACACATCCCAAATCAAGTACTTCTCTTGTCATTTCATTTATATTGAGATACAATAATAGCTGGAAAATTTGAAACTATGATTTACAAATCATTTGATAGGTTTGTTGTGATTGCTTTTGGCCTGTGCTCATTAAAATGCTTATGTCTCTTTGATGAGAAAAAATAAATTACTGATGTTTGTTTCTGTTGTGCCCAGTTGCCGTGACCCCTTACGGTTATGCATCTAGGTTTGATATCCACTTTGATGACAAGTTTGAAGTGTCTTTCGGGAGAGAAGGCGAGACAATGAGTCTGGGCTGCCGTGTAGTTATCACCCCTGAAATTAAACATTTCCAGCCGGAGATCCAGTGGTACCGAAATGGTAAGCCTTGATGATGAATTCTCACTTAGGCTCATATTCGCAGAAGGTCGCAGACCGGACTTGGTCCCAAAGCATGAATGTCTATAGATTGCAGTTCTGTTTACCAGAACTGGCAGAAACTGGATAGTAGAGGGCATAACCTACCAGGTGTTACAAAAGTTTTTATATGTATTTTAGAGTAGCAGAGCTTTTATAACATATTTATAACATAATTTCTTATCACCGTGTACTACAGGGAAAGGATTACAAAAAATGTATTTTCATTTTGTAAGTTGGATATATGTTCATTTTGTAAGTTAATTTTATTTGGTAAGATAAAGTGAAATCCAGTGAAGTCCTATTGGTTCCCAGGCACTGTGGGTGGTAGTCAGCATGCTCACCATGCAGCTGGCCTAAACCTCAGTGTCCGTGTGGGCACCGGGCAGTCTGGGCCATTGTGAAGTGATGACTAGGACCAGGACCTGCGTCCGGAGTGAAGCCAGTAGTAGCTGCAGTGGTGGCACATCCAGTGCTGCTGGATGTGGCCCTAGAGGAGAGGAGAGGCCCCGCCAGATGCGCCTGGGAGCCCCCAGTGGGAGCCCAGATCCCCTGTCCATCTCCAGGACCCGTCTTTGTGAGACCTGCACAAACATGAACTTCCTGGCCTGAGCACCGTGACAGGAACTGCCAACAATCACACCTTTGTCTATAAAACATTACAAAATAAAAGCATGTATATAGACATTGCAGTAAGGCACATAAGGCAGTTAGAATTCTTCTGAGTTTGGACTCTCTGTTTATGAAAACTGCCACAACATTGCAAAGCAAATATTCACGGGCTTGGAAATAAAAATTAAATTTAAAGATTGCCACATTCAGTGAAAATGAGCACTATTTCCATACAAAACTTTGGATGAAGCAGTTATTAACAAGAAAGATATTTTTAGAGTAATTTTTCTCATAATCGAAGTTACAGTGAGAAAAATGTATAAATAGACATTTAAATTATATACAAATCATGAAGCCATTTTCTTTTTCTGTATGATCACAAGTTACAGGACATGTAAGAGAAAGCATTAAAATGCAATTATTTAAATATACATTTAAAATTGAATTTAGATTTACATGAAACTATTTGTATAAGGAGTCAAATCTTTTTAGAAAAAATTGTTCCTCAAGAATTGTCAGCTCTAGAGTACAAAAATTTATATTTTAAAATAGCTTATCAGAGGATTAACCTACTGTTAATTTTATAACCATAACTTTATAATTATATATAGTATAAAACTGTATAATACTATAACTCTATAGCACTCTTAGCAGCAGCATTAATAGTTGCATCAGTGGAAAGATCTTTCTCAAAATAAAAGGAATCAAAACTTATTTGTGACTTTGCATTTGCAAAGACTGAATGATGTTACTTTCAATTTTATTAATTTAAAATTAAGTTGGTAAAAGTATGAATTAGATTGCCTAATAACTGAGGTTGCAAAAAAATAAGTAAAAATTTCTTATTATTGATCAACATATCACAAAATAAAGTATAGTTTGCATGTAAGAATTATGGCATGAAAATAATTAGTTTTTTGCAATCTGTATTATCCTATTATGTTTTATAAATAATAAACTATTTTTAGAGGAAAAAGTTTTATATTTTAGTACCTTAACTGTATTTTTTTCTTCTGCTTTTTGAGCCAGGAGCCTTGCAATTTCATTTTGCACTGGGCCTTGCAGATGATATATCTGGCTGTGGTTCCCTCATTTCTGGTCTAGCATTTTAACCCATATAAATATGGTACAATGACTCAAAGTCTTACAGACTTCCTCTAATAGTCAGATAGCTTTCAATATAGAAGAAGAGGAATAAAGAGAGAGAGAGATGGAGAGAGGAGTGAGTTGGGGGGAGGGAGGAAGAAGATAGTAATGGAGAAAGAAGTCAGCAAATTTGTTTACATTTTTCCACCCAGGGGCACCTGTTTCTCCATCAAAATGGGTGCAAACACATTGGAGTGGAGATCGGGCAACACTAACATTTTCTCATCTCAACAAGGAAGACGAAGGTCTCTACACAGTTCGTGCTCGAATGGGAGACTATTATGAACAGTACAGTGCTTACGTCTTTGTTCGAGGTAAGACCTGGCAGAAAGCAGAGCATCTGAGAATGTTTAAAACACTGAGTCCGTATCAATCTATCCAAACATATTTTGGGTAACGATGAAAATTCCTCCTGGGACTTCCCAGGGTCCAGTGTTCAGGACTCAGTGCTTCCACTGCTGGGGTGCCAAGGTTCAGTCCTTGATCTGAGAGCTATGATCCTGCAAGCCACATGGTATGGCCAAAAAAATTTAAAAATTCTCCCAGATGATGTAGCACAGGGATGTTAGCATCTAGTAAAATTAGAATGGATGTGAAAAGGTTAACCCTAAAAGCACCAACCTGAAGGTGACCAGTTTCCAGACTGTGCTGCCGTCACTAGTGTCAGTACTTTCCTCTTCTTCAATGAGCCACCAGCTCAGTCCTCTGTAGAGGTTTGAGAGGCTGCGTCCTAATGGTGTGAACGAAGAGTCATCTCGGTTTAAAGAAGGAACAATAAAATAGCAATGGGGATTCACTCTTAATCTGTTTTGGAGAGCAAATTTGTTATTTCATTCCAGGCCTTCTCTTAGTTTTATGAACTAGGAAGCAAGATGCTACCACTGAATCTCGAAGATAAGCTATAATTGTTGATTTTAGGAGTCCTTCTTTTCTCAGTGGTGTCTTGAATGGGTAGGGTATGTACAAGTGGAAATGTTCTCGATGCATGAGATCTGAGAGCACTTTGAAGACCATGCACATGTCCTGGCCTCAAGTGCTCTGTGTTCTTTTCTGTGACTTGATTGATAGTCACATGAGTAGACAGAGGAGGGGCTCAGGAAAATAGAGTATATCACACTCACAGGTCCCGGAGAACCACACCAGGCCACGTGGGGAGGCAGCCACGCTGCTTTGTCAGGAGGCAGGAGGGTCAGAGGGGAGAGCTCGGACCACAGTCTTTACTGGATTTCCTGTGGAAAAGGCAAGGCGGGATGGGATACACAATTCAGGATCGGCTAGTGTGAGCAGTTTCAGTGGCCCCTAAGCTATAGGGGTTGTGCCTAGTTGTCTGGTGCCTGGTGCTGAGATGGTTAAGTCAGAGGAATATTTCCTCCTGGGGTACATGGCTGGTTGAAGGAGGTCAGCTCTGGACAAGTTAGAGTTGGCTAGCCCCAAAAGATGTGTGATCTCTCCCCAACCAGAAAGGTTTGTTTTGAAAGCATCACAATTCACAGAGAATAAATATATAAACAATATGGTTTATATTGATTTGTAGCAACAAAATTGCTAATTTTTTATCTAAATGGATAAAAAATAAATTCCATTTTACACTAAATGGAATCATGAACATCTAGGCATTTTGATCACGGTGGGACTTTAGAGGCCATCCAGGTGTCCTTAACTGGGATCCACAGACTCCAGAGGGGTCTGTGATTAAAACTGTACTTCAGTATAACTGGTTTTTTTGATAAGCTCATGTATTTATTTTATCATTTAAAAGTATTATTCTGAGGAAGGGATCTTTATTCTTTCTTTACCAGTTTTCCAAAGGAGTCTCAGTTCGGTTTAGTCGCTCAGTCATGTCTGATTCTTTGCAACCCCATGGACTGCAGCACCCCAGGCCTCCCTATCCATCACCAACTCCCGGAGTTTACTCAAACTCATGTCGATTGAGTCGGTGATGCCATCCAACCATCTCATTCTCTGTCGTCCCCTTCTCCTCTCACCTTCAATTTTTCCCAGCATCAGGGTCTTTTCCAGTGAGTCAGCTCTTCACATCAGGTGGCCAAAGTATCAGAGTTTCAGCTTCAACATCAGTCCTTCCAATAAACATTCAGGACTGATTTCCTTTAGGATGGACTGGTTGGATCTCCTTGCAGTCCAAGGGACTCTCAAGAGTCTTCTCCAACACCACAGTTCAAAAGCATCANGCCTGGGAAAACCCATGGACAGAGGAGCCTGGTGGGCTACAGTCTGTGGGGTTACAAAGAGTGGGACATGACTGAGAGGCTGAGCACCCAAACTTGTCTGGAAGAGACAGAGGAACAGAACAGGAGATGGATGTACGTGAATGCAGGGAGCACTCTGCAACCCACACACGCCCCTCAAACACCTTACTCGGTGGACCGTGCCCTCTGAGTCACACCCATCCGATCAGGTGTTAGAACTTCCCATCTGATTCCAGACCACCTTCCTTCCAGCCCTACCACGGCTGGGGAGCTGCAGTCCTCCCCACATCCACAACCACGGCAAATTGCAGGGCTTCTCCAGGGTGAGGAGCCGTATCTATCGTAGTGGGTCAGGAAGATCCCCTGAAGAAGGGAATGGCAACCCGCTCCAGTACTCTTGCCTGGAGAATCCCATGGACAGAGGAGCCTGGTGGGCTACAGTCCATGGGGTTGCAAAGAGTCAGACACGACTGAAGCAACTTAGCATGCATGCAGAAACCTCGCAGTTGTTTAGAAACAGAAGTGGTACTAAGATGCAGGTCTTCTGGTGGCTAACCCAGGATTTTAGCTAGGGAATAGGCTAAGCTGCTGAAATGGAACTTAAAAACAAAAAGTTTATTTCTGTCCTGTGTCCATCAGTGTAGAAGAGTGGTCCAGATGGTCCTGCTCAAAGCACTCATTCAGAGTCCCGGGTCCCATCTATGTTGCTGCTCGGCTGGCCCTGTGCTCCCAGGCCAGCCTGCGGGAGGGGAGATGCAGAGACGCACACAGCACTTCTTCTTGGTGAACACACCTCCGTGTGTGTTGGGGAGCTGGGGTGATGAAGTTCTAGCTGGGCAGCATGTTACCCGTGGAAGCTCAAGGGTTCCGGTACTAAAAGGCAACAGGAGGACTGGACACTAGGGACGGTCAGCAGTCTACACCACAGCAGTACTGAGCAGTAATGAATGATCATTGGATTCTGCCTCAGATCAGCAACTGATAAAGATACTTGAATATCTCTACCAACTGAAAATCGGACATTTTAGGAAAAATCAGATCTTGCAAGTGGAAGAAGGGGGTAGCCCTCTGGGTCAATTGCAGTGAAAATGGACACATTGGAAGTTATCAGCAAGTATATTTATTTAACCACCTTGATAGTCCTGGCCAGATGAGAACTGAATAAGCAAACAGAGTCTTTGCCTCTGCTCTCAAGTGTCTTACCTGAATTAGAGTCTTCTCTGGTGACTCAGAAAGCACTGAGTTATGCCTTGAGGATTCCCTCTGTGCTCTTTTCCTGGGAGCTCAGACACAGTCCAGGGTCTCCTCAACAACATTTCTCGGTGGCCATGCCAGGGTCATGGTCCTTTGCAGGTTGAGACCAAATTTCACATTACTAACCGCGGACAGGTGGAAGGATTGAAGTTTATCATTAAGCTGGTCTTCATTCCACAAAATAAGGGAAGATTCTAAAATGTATCAGATGTTGAGAGAATTGAGAAGATTCATGGAAAGAGGAAATTGCAAAGACAAGTCTCAGAAATCAAATTGTGAATTCAACTTTTAGAACACCATTTCCCTTGTAAGTATTTTAAGTGCTATATTTTGGATTCATTTAAAAAAATCTTTGTTGAGATGTAATTACACACCATAAGAGTCAACCATGCTAAGTGGACAGTGCTTTTTGGAATATTTATAGAGCTGTGCACCACCAGCCCCCCATCTACAATCCAGCTTTAGAACATTCCCATCACACCCCGCCCCACCCGAGATATTTCTTGTGTCCCTTCCCCACTCTCATTCCCAGTCTAGCCCCCAAGCAGCCACTAATCTACTCCCTGTCACTATAGACTTTCTTTTCTAAACATTTCTGAATATGTGATCTTTCACTTTTGTCTTTTTTTTCATTGAGCATATGTTTTGAGGTTCTTTATGATGGCAGTTTACTTCTTTTTATTGCTGACTAGACATGCTTCATTTTGTGTGTCTATTCACCGGCTGATAGACAATTGGATTGTTTCTGCTCTCTGACTACTCTGAATAATGCCGTTGTGAAGATTTCTATTCATAGCCATTGACCTGGGCTTTCATTTCTCTTGGTTAGATAGCTACCACTGGAATTGCTGGGTCGTATGTTAAATTTGTGTTTGATTTTTTGAGAAACTGCCAGAGTGTGTTTAAGCGACATTTTACGTTTTTGTTTTTTTTAAACTTTGAGCTACATGAAGCCATTTCCATGTATTTTTTTTTAGAGCTCTGGTATTTTGTTGCTTAGGAAATAGCTTCTGAACCAGAATGATCAGTGCAGAAAGCACCATATGTCAGCAGAAACACATTCCAGAGATGTACACTTTTGGACAGGGTTTTATTACATAGATACTATATGCTCTTTCTGAAAAAATAGATAATGTAAATAAGCAAAAAAGGACAAAAGAAAAGCCATCATAAGTCTACCATCCAGAGATATCCAAAATTATCATTTTAATACATATTCTTCTAGACTTTTATATATTCTCCCCACCCCTCCACATATACATGGTGGGGGGAGCAGAGAAAGATGATAAAGTGATGAAGGATGGTATATAAATGTAAAGAATTATAATTGACAGATAAATGGATGAAAAAGTTTTTGCTATAATCAAAGCAATAAAATTGATCTATCACATTCGAAAGATTTACAAGGTTTTTAGAATCCATTAGGATGAAGGAATGGATGGATGAACACTCCTACATGTTGTTGGTGAGTGTAAATTGGTTCATCTTTTCTCAGGGTGTTTTGTTACTATATATCAACAGTGTGCACTTTCAACAATTCTAGTTCTAAGAATTTTAGTGGACAAAACTGAGAAAGGAATGTTTGTTTTGGGGAAAGTCTGGAAGGAATCTAGGTATCCACCAATTGGAGTTGAAAATAATGTACAATAAATAGTCCATAAAAGCAATGGAAATACTGTACAACAATGAAAGCTAATGGTGTATGTGTGCGTGCTAAGTCACTTCAGTCATGTCTGACCCTTTGCAGCCCTATGGACTGCAGCCCTCTAGGCTCTTTTATTCATGGGATTCTCCAGGAGAGAATACTGGAGTGGGTTGCCATACCCTTCTCCAGGGGATCTTTCCAACCCAGGGATCGAACCCATGGTTCTTATGTCTCCTGCATTGGCAGATGAGTTCTTTACCACTAGTGCCACCTGGGAAGCCCTTAATGATGTATACTTATGCTAATTAATACGAAAATATATTTTAAAAAACAGTTTACATGAAACTATATAGTCCAATCCCACTTTTATTTAAAAAACAATCACTTAAAAAAATTGAAATGTAGTTGATTTAGATTATAAAAAACAAGCACTTTTGAGTTTGTAAATATAGAAAAAAAATCCAGAAAAGTTTAGGCCAATGTATTAATAGTAGTAATCTCTGAGTTATGGAATTAAGAGGGATTTTAACATGTATTTTTATTATCATATATTTTATAAGCATGCACTATTTTTATAATAAAGATAAACAACAGAATTACTTAGATTTTGAAAAAAGTTATTAAATAGCCTGTGTGAGAGATCAAAATATAAAAAAGGAACAGGCTAATCTTTGGTCTAATCAATCAAAGCTACAAAAAGTTTGACTATTTGGAGCACTGGGAGAAGGAAGGGCAGAGGCTAAGAAGAGAATTGACGTTGACCAGATGGGTGCCTTGGGCCAGGCGCCCTGCAGCAGCTGACAAAGGCGAGAGCACAAGTGTGAAGCTACATAACACAGTTTCAGATCTGACTTCCAGCAGCTGCTATGCAGAATACGTGTTTGAAAGATTTTCAAGTCCACACAACAAATGGCATATTCCAAGCAATTTTATAGAAATGCTGAGAAATGGCTCCCTAAATGCTTACTGTCTACCAGGCTCTGTTTCACACGATGAATTTACCTATCAGCACCAAGTTTACCAGTTGTTACACTATGGGCCTTTTGCTTTAAAAAAAAAAAAAAGGCATGCCTAGAGGTTGCCAGCTGCCTTCATTGCAGCTGAGCAAATCTTAGGCCTGTTAAGGTCAGCATTTCTACCTCCTGCTAGTTCTACTCCAGGACTTCCCAGGTGGCTTAGTGGTAAAGAATCCACCTGCCAAGGTCAGGAGACTCAAGAGACGCAGTTTCAATCCCTGGGTCAGGAAGATCCCTTGGAGGAGGATATGACAACCCACTCCAGTATTCTTGTCTGAAAAATGCCATGAACCTGGAGGGCTCCATACAGTCCATGAGGTCGCAAAGAGTCAGACATGACTAAGTGACTGAGCATGCACACAGCTCAGCTCCACCTTTACCATCAGCTGACCTTCTCCCCTCCATCCAGTGCTCTGAAAGCCTGGAAGGAAAGACGTTTCTCCCCTGTGCTCCCCAAATGCCCATTTGCCTTCGTGTGGCATGCAGGGATTCTGCACTGTGTTTCGGGCACGATGATTTAGTTAGATTCTCCTATAGCACTTACACAGGACATATTACCCTGCAGGTTCATGAGTTCACACAAGTTCATGAAGCAAGAAACATTGTTCAAAACCAAAATGATTTGAGCCCTTCACAGATAACACATACCTATTCCATTCAGAAGCATACAAACAAACATCTCAGCCTTCTTAGCAAATATTTCAGTGACTTAGAAGAGTTACATAAGTGTAGCTCATTGGAAAAGAAAGTGTTTCTTATTTGGTCAACAAGAGTGCTTTCCCTGGGTGAGCGGCTCCTGCAAGTCTCAGCCTCCTCTCCTACTAATTCCAGCTATTAAAGTGCTGACCGGATGTCAGTAGGAATTCCCAACTGTGGATCTCCTCCCCCAGGGATTCTGCCTCTTATCTTAATCCTTCTCACTTAAAAGGCTATTAAATGGTTATTTTCATTCCCCTTCCTTTCCACCTAAAAACACCCCCAAGTCACTAATTTATCAGTACACACACTGCTGAGGGGACCCACAGTCAGCAGATCCTGTTTCATGGGCAGTCACTGAACTGTTTCTTATATAGTCCTGGACTTTTGCTAAACTCAGATAAACTAAGCTCAGATGTGGGTATTGCATCAGAGTTCCTTTCGCAAGTATCTTCAGTTTGGGAACAAACATTTAATTAAAATGAATGTTTTTGTTTCTCTTCCAAAATGGTAGTCCCAGCATAGGGATGGGCAAAACTTCTTGGTTCTTCTCTTCTGGATCCAGAACGTGACAGAAGGGGCCGTTTGCTCCCCCTTGGAGCCATTTATAGTTTCTGAGTAACGCTGCACAATAATTATCTTAAGAACAGACATCCTGGCATAATTTACATTAGACTTTTTTGAGAGCAGTCTCTGATGTCTCCATAGTTATTTTCTTTTAGAATATTTTGGGCAGGCAAGGGCCATGAGGCCAAGGTCATGGGTCCTTTTCAGAGCCCTTTCTGACATAATGTTCCTTGCACTGATGGTGAAAAGCACACATTGTTATTTTGGTAAGCAAATTATAAAATTGATGATTGCTCTACTGGGGCCGAATGGAGTTCCCTGGTGGCTCAGTAGTAGAGAATCTGCCTGCGAAGCAGGAGACATGGGTTCCATCCCTGGGTCAGGAAGGAGGAAATGGCAACCTACTCCAGTATTCTTGCCTGGGGAATCCCATGGACAGAAAATCTTGGTGGGCTATAGTCTGTGGGGTGTGGGGTCGCAAAAGATTTGGACAGAACTTAGCAACTGAACAATGACAACAATAATAATCTACTTGGCCAACAGTGTAGCGACTGCAGTGATGTGGTAAGAAAGGTCTGCACTGTGACCTTGGCTTTGGGGGCTGACAGAATGGATCTGAGAGGGTTCACGGGTCCTTCTGTATCCCCCCAGATGCTGATGCAGAGATTGAAGGAGCCCCCGCTTCTCCCCTGGACGTGGTGTGCTTGGATGCCAACAAGGATTACATCATCATCACCTGGAAGCAGCCGGCTGTGGATGGAGGGAGTCCGATTCTGGGATATTTTATTGATAAGTTAGTACCTAGTATGACTTCAGTTAGAGTGATTGACTATAGAGATGCCTGCTTGGTTTTTCCCACCATTTCTTTTGCTCTTTTTTTTTTTTTATATGCTGATTTTAGTTTTTATTTTATTTATTTATTTTTTGATTGCGCCAGGTCTTCATTGCTCTGTGGGCTTTTCTCTAGTTGTGGCAAGCAGGGGCTACTCTCTAGTTGAGGTGCGTAGGCTCCTCATTGCTGTGGCTTCTCTTGGGGAGCATAGGCTCTAGGGCATGCAGGCTGCAGTGGTTCCAGTTCCCGGGCTCTAGAGCACAGGCTTAATAGCTGTGGGGCACGGGCTTATTTGCTCTGTAGCGTGTGGAACCCTCCCAGATCAGGGATCGAGCCCGTGTCCCCTGCAATGGCAGGCGGATTCTTTACCACCGCACAACCTGGACAACCCTCTCCCGCCGTTTCTTGGTGAAGTGTTTTCTTTACCGTCTCGTCTCCCTCTTTTTCTCTCTGTCTCTGTCTACAAACAGATTGGTGTGAATATATACTTAACTACCTGCTTACCTCAATTTCCAAGATGATTCTTCAATTCTGCTACCAGCCCAAGTCGCTAATTTGGCAAGAATATTATGAATCTGTACACTTGATAGAGGCCACTTCAGAAATGAAATAGCTGGTGTTCAACACGCATAATGTCCATGTTCCTAATATGTCAGTAATTTAAGAATATTAAATAATAATACTCTAGGAACACTAACAAAACTTCATTTACATCACAAGAATCAAGCTTGACAGAGAAATAAATATCAATAGTACTAAACTATGATTTATCTACAAATTGTTGCTATTTACATTCTCCAAAATTTAGAGGCTCTGTATTTACAGTAAATGGGCCTTACACATGAATTTGGAGAAGGAAATGGCACCCCACTCCAGTATTCTTGCCTGGAGAATCCCATAGACAGAGGATCCTGGCAGGCTACAGTCCATGGGGTCACAAAGAGTTGGACATGAGTTAGCGACTAAACCACCACACATGAGTTAACCAGTGAGCTTGGCCAATGTAGACAACAAATTTAGATTATTGACCTAAAACCATGATTGTCTGATTTAGTTTCTTTTCAAATAGTTGCTCTAATTCTCTTCCATTTTTGAGTAATAAAGAGTGACTGTGAAAACCACTAGGGACAGATAATCTGTGCCACTATAACAGGTTTGTGCCAAGCTGGATTAAACTTAATATTTACAGAAATAAGTGAGTATATGCCTACTGGGCTCAGAACCAACCAGAGAAATGTTTATAATAAGCTATACACTATTTAACCTATACTAGATGCTTCCACATTATTTCATCATTGAGTAATGATGACTTGTGAAATTTTAGGTAGGTTCTTTTTCATCCTTACAGTTTCTGCATTATTGTCTTTGGTAGATTTACAAAGAATTTTCAGACTTTGATCATTGAAAGACCAGGGACAATCAGTACATCTTGTTTTCTTCTTGCTTTAGTCATAATGAAAATAACCATAATGCAGTGAATATTTATTAAGCATTTGCTGTGTGCATGGCACTCTTCTAAACACTTCACGTGCATGTCCCATTAACCCATAGCCACTCTTTGAGAGGCAGGTGCCGTTATTACAGATAGGAAGCAAGTAGCTGAACCATGGCTGTGTCCTAGTGACGAAATGCTAAGTTTGTGTTCTTGCTGTGGAGATCTCCAGAGCAGCTGCTCCCCACCTTCCTTTCTGCTCATGTGAGAGTTTGGAAGCGAGTTCCAGGACCGCTGGTCACCGAGACAGTATCTGCTCAGGGGAAGATGGAGTTTCCTGGCAGAATTCCTGGAGGCAGGGGAGGCCTGCTGCTTGTCCTAGCCTTCTAGCTCTCTCCCCTGGCCAGTTCACAGCCACTCCAGAATTCCTACAAAGGAAAATTCAGGAGGAGGGAGTGGAAGGCATAGACTGAAGCCTTATTTGATACCATTTCATGTAAGATCAAAGAAAATGTCCATTTATCTCAAAGAATGGAAGAGTGATGGTAAAGAAGTGAAAATAACACCACCCCCCCCAACTCCAACTGCCTTTGCACTGCCATTGGCATCCACCTCCTCCATGAGAACCCTTTGGGAAATTATACCCTTTGGACAGAGAGCCGAGTTGGGGAAGTGATAAAAGCTCAAAGTGCAGTGCTCTGCTCATAAAAAATAGTGAGTTACTTACTGCTGCATTCTAAGGTCACACATGGGGTCCCTCAGACTCTATTGATCAGGCCGAAAGCATGATATGGACTGTCATCTTTTTCTCCTGGGCATCGGCTCTCTACCCCTCTCTCTCCAGGCATCGGCTGCTGTAAAGGCACCCAATAAGAAATCAGAAGTTCCAGGGACTTACCCTTCCCTTGCCAGGCCCAAAGATTTCCCTGCATCTCATCAGTCTCATCTGCTAAGAAAAAAAATACAGTGCCCATCTCGCTGTTCCACCCACACCACGTGTAGTGACCACTGGTGAGCTCTTTCCAGACTATAGTACAGGGAGATGTCTTGTAAGGTGTTAACTTTCTCAACCATAGTTCCATTTTAACAGAAATTGCCTAGGAACGATAAAAAAAGAAGTCACTAGTGGTAGAACTGAAGACATTATCTGGGGGGATGTTTTGGGGGTCCTCCCCCTTCTGCTTTGTAAAAACTGTGCATACCTGCTTGCTTCTTTTTTCCCCCCAAAAAGCTCCTCTGCTTAGCACAGGAGACCCCTCAGCTGCCTGCTTTTAGTGAGGTGGAAGGATGTACATGTCTTCAGGAAAGCTCTGAGGTTTCTTTCCTAACTGTTAGAGTAGATCCATTGCAATTGAGTGGAGCTGAGTGCCTGCAGTTATGTATCTGCTGCAGTCTGCTCCAGCTGGATGTTTTACAGAGAGAAGCCCTGAAGCACTGGGGTGGGTTTGCAGCCCTGAAGCCATCCACTTAGCCATCCTTCCTCTCATATTCCTGTCTGTCACTCTCTCTCTCCCTTAGATGTGAGGTGGGCACAGACACCTGGACGCAGTGCAATGACATTCCTGTGAAATTTGCTCGTTTCCCAGTCACTGGGTTGATCGAAGGCCGTTCTTACATATTCCGAGTTCGAGCTGTGAACAAAGTTGGGATAGGCCTGCCCTCTCGAGTCTCCGAGCCCGTGGCAGCTCTGGATCCAGCTGAGAAAGCTAGACTGAAGAGTAAGTGTTTCTCATTTTTCAGAATGACCTTTTAAAAATGATTGCGGTAGATCCCATTGCAAGGTTATTCTTCCCCTGTCCACCAGAGGGAGAAGAGAATAAGAAATCCTTTACTGATCAGAAAAATGCTAGGGGGAAGAAAACAAAAACAAAACCTTTTTCTGTTTTTTAATTTATCTATTCACTAAGGGGTTTATTTTATTTAGAATCTTTGCCTTATTTAGCTGAGTTCCAGGCATTGTGTTTGAAATGAAAATATGAAAACCAGAAGCCTGAAGAGCATTTAATTCATTTTATTAGAACACTTCAAATACACTTTTCTTTCTGGTTTAGTTTCTTAAAATTTTAAGGTAATTTTCTTAAACTTGAATTTATCCCTTAGAGCATTAATATCTCAACACTGTGAGCTTTTGATATCAAAGGAAAATCACATTTACAACATTATATCTGATCTGTACTTGAGTTTCCATATTAGGCAGTCAAAAATAATCTTTTCATATAGTTAGCCTCCAAGTCTTGATGTTAATTTAAAATAGTGGTATGTAAATTATGATCTGCTTTTGTTTCATGGGAACCAATATAGCATCCTTAACAATAGGGACCTTAAAATGACAGTGAAGAATTTTTGGATGTTCATACTTCAGTCTATGCCAGATTTCTCAACCTTGGCTCTACTAACATTTTAGGCCAGGTAGCTCTTTGTTGTGGGGGCTGTTCTGTGCATTGTGAGATGTTTAGCAGCATCGTTGGCCTCTACTCACTAGATGCCTGTAAAATCTGCACCCTCACCACCTCACCCCCATCGTGACAATCAAAATTATCTTCAGATGTTACCAAATGTCCCTGGGGGCACAAAATCACCCTAGTTGAGGACTACTGGTCTGTGCCATTTACCACATTTATAGCTTTTCTTGACCTTAAGTACATGCAGTGCCATCATAAAAAATTTAGTAAAATAATGCCACCTTCTCTCCGGAGACTTTCTCTGATCAGGCTCCTCAGTTGCTCTCCAGTCACTTTTCACTTGCTTTTTCACTTTTCACTTTTCATCCAGCTTCCCTCCATCTTTCTTAATTCCATCTCATATTTTCATTTACTCCTCCTTTATAAATTTCAATGAAAATAAGATTTGCCAGAATTGAAAATAAGTTATCTTGCATTTCACCTTCCTGTTTTTGTACACACTCTGGTGGAAAGTACCTCTTTTAAAGCAAGAGTTGAACCATTCTCTCTGATGCCTTTCTGCAATCACAGAAATGAATTTCCTCTGTCACTCTATACTGCCTGAGTCACTCATTTTCTTTACTTGGGGTTGAAAATGCTTCCCTTTGTAAGCAACAGTTTTAAAAGTAATGGAAAGATATCCTTTTGGTTGAGCTTCACTGCATGATCAACAATGCTGCCATCACTTTCATCTTCGTTATGACAGATACAAAACAGCCAGGCTTGCATTATTCTAGAGAGGTTTCTCCCAGGTATATGCTATCTCTTTAGAAGGGTGAGAGAACCCATGTGGTTCAGGAGATACATGTCGAAGAGTATTTGGACACAGGCTGTTCCCCTTGCTTGTGTGAGTAGTTCCAGAAACATGGACTCCGTCCTGGCAAGTTCTGGGCTTTTGCAGATTGTGAGTTGTTTGATGACTGGGGCTGTGCCCCCTTCCCCCAAATACTGTGCCCACACTTGGTAAGACTCATTAGGAAGGTACATAAGTAAGCTAGTAACAAACCCATTTGTGATGAATCTGGACCGTTTATCAGTTTCTCAGTGCAGTTAAACTGTGTTTGTGAATGTTTCTGATATTTTACACTTACCTCTGTTAGGCCGCCCCTCAGCACCCTGGACTGGACAGATCATTGTCACTGAGGAAGAACCAACAGGTAAAGGCTACATTTTCCGCTGATAGTATTGCCAGTGTTCTGCTATGCGGTTTAGCTATTGTGGAGGGTATCGTGTATATTATTTAAGATGTTTTGGAAAGAACATACTGAAATATTTGGAGATCATGAGCTAACTTATATTGTTAGACAATCACTTTTTTTTTTAAAGATTTATTAAGGTATAATGACATGGACTAAACTGCATGTCTGTAAAATGTACAATGTGATAAATTAATTCCTGTGAAACTACCACTGTAATCAAAATAATGAACATATCTACAACCCCTTAAATCTCCTCATGCCTCTTCCTCATCTCTAGGCTCACTGATCTGCTTCCTATCACTGTTGTTTGTGTTGTTCACAATTTTCCATAAATGGAATCCTACTCATTTTTGTCTGATTGCCTTCATTCAGCATAATTATTTTGAGATTTATCCATGTTGACACATGTATCAGTTCATTCCTATTTATTTATACCTTCACACTTGAAAGCCTCTATGAATCTCTCTGTTAAGTGTTTTTGTGGATATACACTTTCATTTCTCTTGGATAAATGCCTAGAGTCTGAATGCACAGGTCATCTGATAAATGCCTGTTTAATTTTTAAAGAAATTGCCAACTCTTTCCCAAAATGATTGCACCTTTTACATTCCCATCAGCAGTAGTTGAGAGTTCCAGCTGCTCCTCACTGTCCCATACTTGGTATGGTCAGTCTTCTTAATTATAACCATTCTAGTCAGTGTATAGTGGTGTTTTATACCATAGTGGTATTTCATAGTAGGTGCGTAGTGGTCTTAATTTGCACTTCCCAAGTAATGTTGAACATCTCTTCATGTGTGAATTTGCCATTTTTGCATCCTATTTGACATCTTTGCCAAATCCAATTTCACTCAGATATTCTTTCTTTTTTTTCTAGAAATGTCACAGCATCAGCTCTTATGCTATTATATTTTAATTTATGATACATTTCAAATTAATTATTTCTATATTGTGTGGATTAGGAGTTATTATTATTTTGCATATGGTGATCCAATTATTTCAGCAATATCTGTTGAAAAGATTATCCTTTTCTCATTGAATTACCTTGGCACTATTGTCCAAGTCAACTGATTTCATATTTGTGAATCTATTTCTGAATCTTCATTTGTTAATTTTATTTTCTTTATACTAGTACCACACTGTCTTGAACACTATAGCTTTTATAAGCTTCTTGTTTTTATTTCTTTTGTTTTAGCTTCATAGTTTTGAAATAGAGGTAGTATAAGACCTCTAATCATTTTTTTCCCAAAGTTGTTTTGACTATTCTAAGTCTTTGCATTTCCATGTAGAATTTAAAAATTAGGCTATCAATTTCTATTAAAAAAAATCTGCTGTGATTTCTATTGAGTCTTTTATTTTTCATTTGTTTCTATCTACTCACTCTCTCCAACTAAATGATGGATTTATATACTTCTTGTAGTTTTATCAGGTTTTGTTTCATGTATTTTGAGACTCTGCTATTAGGTGCATAAACAGTTTTATTATTATATCCTCTTATGCACTGACTTATGACTTTATTATCAGAAAATGACTCCTTTTATCCATGGTAATGCATTTTTGCTTGGAAATCTGCTTTGTCTGATATGAACATGACCATTCCAGCTTTCTTTTGATTAGTGTTAGCATGACGTATGATTTCTGTCCTTTTCCTTTGTGTCTTTGTATTTAACATTTCTTGTAGGCATCATATCATTGGGTCTGGTTCTTTAATGTAAACTAGTAATGTTCACTTTTGATTGGGATATTTGAACAATTTACATATCATTGTGATTATTGATATGATTGGATTTAAATCTAACATCTTGCTATTTGTTTTCTATCCATTCCTTTATCCTCTTTTTCTCTTTTCTTTTGGATTTGAATATTTTTATTTCATTTTATCTATATTATCTTATTAGCTATAATTATTTATTTTGATTTAATAATATCTTGGAATTTTTTAGTATAATACACATCTGATCACACCCTACTTTCAGGTAATATTACACTACTTCACATGCAGCATGTCTTACAGTGCAGTTCCGTTTTCCCGAGTGCGTGTCCCTCATGCTCCCCTGTTGTTTTTCAGAGGGTGTTGTTCCCGGGCCCCCCACTGACCTCTGTGTCATTGAGGCCACGCAGAGCTATGTGGTGCTGAGCTGGAAGCCCCCCCGCCAGCGTGGCCATGAAGGCATCCTGTACTTTGTAGAAAAGGTGAGACTCTAGGAGCAGCATCGTTACCTCTGGCACGTCTTCAATATTTCTTTAAAGAAGTAAAGATTAAGTTTCTGTTGTGTCCTGAACTTTTAAAACTCTTATAAACTGTTACCTGTTTCCACAAAAAAATGTGTTTCCCAGAAAGTTCAGGGGGTTTATGGATCCATGAGGGTCCCCCATGGACTCCTAAGAGGTCCACAGACCCCAACTCTTAGCTTCTCTAAGAAGAGAAGCATTCCTGGAACTGTATATAGCCTCTGCAACACCATGTTGCAGGGCTTTCTCACCACTTTTTCCATCGCCCTTGCTCTGCTGTTGTGGTTTAGTTGCTCACTCATGTCTGACTCTTTTAGACCCCATGGATTATATATAGCCTGCCAGACTCCTCTGTCCATGAGATTTCTCAGGCAAAAATATTGGAGTGGGTTGCCATTTTCTTCTCCAGGGGATCTTCTTGACCCAGGAATCGAACTCACATATGCTGCATTAGCAGGCAGAGTCTTTTTACCACTGAGCTACAGGAAAGTCCATCAAAAGACTATAGGTATAGGCAAATACCTGCAAGTTAGGTAACAACATAAAATCTATATTCAACTATCTTTCTGTCCCTTTAATTATTTCTAACCAGCAGCTCTTGAGAAAATTATATTGGAGCCAAAAACACAGGGTCTGTGGTTTCCCTTTATTAATAACTTTTATTCATGAGGACATTTGGCTCATGGCTTTGGGGAGCATGCCTTACTTCCTTCCTATCCCTAGAGGTGAATAAAAATAAGTGGGTAATTTCTTCAACTCGCAAATATGGACATCTTCAAAGAAAGTCTGATTTTACCAAAATAATGCTTAAATTTTATGTTTTGTCAATTTTTACATTTTCTAGACATTAGCCTAAAATGAAATATAACTTGAGTATCATTCTTGATTAAAAACTTTTTTTTTCTCTCTCTCTTTTAATAGAGGACAAGACAAGAGTGATAAACATTCACTTTCTGGTATATTTAATACACACTCCTCCAGTGAATTGTTTTGAAAGGCTCCACACAAAGATAGTTCTGAATAAGCTCTGTGGCAGTAATTACCATCTTTCTTATAATAATGACACAGTAACAGCCTATTACTGGGGCCTTTCTCTGAGATGAGTCAACTTTGGCTTCTGTTGAGCATCTTCTCTGGTCACATAAACTCAAATTTCTCCATGAAAGTCTGTAGCTTCTCCAGACCTAAATACATGAATCTGATTAAAAATTTGAGTGTTCTTCCACCAGTGGGCCAGAAGGGACATTTATGAGTGCGGCATGGATAAAAAGGTCTGCACAGGCCCTGCCAACATTCAAGGTCCAGGCTGTGCCAGAGGGGCAGCACACCTGCAGAGACCTGGGGCACGTTTACAGAAAAACCATCCAAATGAATGCCGGACTATGGTCCAGAGCCGAGTCTCAAATTCTCATTTTAAAAAAAAAAATACTTATTTATTTGGGTCTTTTTAGCTGGGCCCAGGCTTTTGCTAGTCGCAGAGAGTAGGGGCTACTCTGTAGTTGTGTATGGGCTTCTCATTGCAGTGGCTTCTCTTGTTGTGGAGCACGGACTCCAGGGCACACAGGCTTCAGGAGTTGTGGCCACCAGCTTAGTTGCTGCGTGGCATGTGGGGTCTTCCGGGACCAGTGATCCACGCGTGTCTCCTGCATTGGCAGGTGGATTTTTAACTGCCGGACCACCCGTGCTTAGTCTCTCCGTTGTGTCTGACCCTTCGTGACCCTTTTGACTGTAGCCCACCGGGCTCCTCTGTTCATGGGATTTTTCAGGCAAGAATAAGGACCACCAGGGAAGTCCTCAGATTATTTCTGATGGATCACTTCTGTCCTGTTGACTTTTCACAAGAGAAATGTTCCCATGCTGTCTTCCCATGACGAGTTTCCATCCTCAGGATGTCAAGCCTGCCGCAGTGCTGCCTCTCTGGTTATCCCCGTGCTTGCTCCTCTTCAAGGAACTTTTTACCTGAGGTTTGCACGCACGTCAAGCATGAACTTGCCTGTCATGGTGACAGGCTTACAAGCAGTTATGCTATGTCTGCGAGCCCTGAAATGGTTAATGTTGAGGGGGATTAGATAAATCAAGTTTCATTGCTCTCAGCCCCTCCATACTACTGTGTTCTTTCCAGCCCCCAAATTTTTCCTCAGACTTATTTCCTCAGTCTTACGTTTTTAGTGCTTTCTCTCATTTCCCCCATCAGAAGTCTGGTCAAGTCAGAGACAAGAATTGTATGACTGGGTAGCTCTGTTTCTACCAAAGGAGTGAAAACAACTGACATTTACCAAGGACCAAGCACTGTTTTTCAAATGACTCAGTGGTAAAAGAATATGCCTGCCACTGCAGGAGACTCAGGGGACTGGTTCAATCCTTGGGTCGGGAAGATCCCCTGGAGGAGGAAATAGCAACCCACTCTGGTATTCTTGCCTGGGAAATGCCATGGACAGGGGAGCCCTGGTGGGCTACAGTCCCTGGGGTCACAGAGAGGCGGACACGACTGAGCGACTGAGCACACGCATGCAGGCGTTGTTTTAAGCTCTGCATATGTTAACTCACTTCATTCTTACAGGAACCCGCCGAAGGAAGTACTTTTATTTTTATTACATCTGCTTTGTAGATGAGGAAACAGGCCTAGATGGGATATACAATTTACCCCGATCACACAACTAGTAAGAGACAGAGCTAGAATTTGAACCTAAGCAATCTGGCTCAGGTCCATATATCCAACTTTTATACACTGCTGCTTTTCAACCTTCCCACGCCTAAGTTTTCTCTCAAAAGCTTGGATAATAGAGACTTCCCTGGTGGTCCAGTGGTTGAGATTGCACCTCCCAGGGTAGGGTGTATGGGTTCGATCCCTGGTTGGGGCACTAAGATCTCACATGCCTCGCAGCCAGAAAACCAAAACATAAAACAGAAGCAGTGTTGTAACAAATTCAATAAAGGCTTTAAAAATGGTCCACATAAAAAAAAATCTTAAAACAAACTTCGATAATCACATAATATATACTAAAAATGAATCAAAGTAATAAACTAAACAATAAGTCTGGGAGGATTATATTCCTCAGTGGGTAGCCGAGTGACTTAAAGGGGAATTTATTCTCTCTGCCCTCCCACATACAACAGACACATTATCATAAAAGGCACTGCAAGGGATGTCAATGTTCGCCTCATCAAATTTGCCTGTTTTACAGACATTGACACTCATGTAACTTTCCCAGGACCACATAGCTCACTGTTACCAAAGCAAGGACCTGGATCAATGCCTCTGGGTCCTTTTCATCATACCATATTGCCTCTCATTTCAAGTAAATGATGGTTATGCTGAGTGATGTACTAAAAAACTTATTGTCCCCTAAAGTTATCATCCTTGACAGCTGGTCAGTCTATTATAGGTTTAGATTTCTGGAACAATCTCTTGAAACCATTCAGACGTTCTGTAGCGAAGTCACTTCTGCTTTGTCCACATTCAAAAAAAGAAAAAAAATTTTCTTTATCTTTCATTAACTTCATACATTCAGATTTCAGAAAAATTAATTCATTCAGAAAAAAAAAAAAATCATTGATTATCTACTATGTGCCAGATGACAGTTCCAGGCTCTGGGGTATAGCAGTGAACAAGATATCTTCCTGAACTCATTTAGTTGGAATTTACATTCCAACAATGGAGACGACAAATAAATAGTATAATTTCAAGTGTTGATAAGTTTCTTAGTGAAAAATAAGGCAGGGGAAGTAAGGGATAGAAAGAGATGGGGAAGGAGCAAATAACCTTTGCAGGTCAGTGATGGGGTGGTGATGATCAAGAAGGTGATATGTGAGCACAGACCTGCATGTTGTTATGAGTCATTAAGTAACACACAATTAAAATAACTCAGGTCATAACAATATAATGGAAATGTAAGTATCTAACATACCATATTAAACTTAATTACATACCCTAAAAAAGCATCCAACCACAATTTGTGTGTCCTGCTGTGCTCAATTGTGTCTGACTCTTTGCGACCCTGTGGACTATAGCCCGCCAGGCTCCTCTGTCCATGGAATTTTCCAGCAACAATACTGGAGTGGGTTGCCATTTCCTATTTCAGGGCATCTTCCCAACCCAGGGATCAAACCCCATCTACTGCATTGGCAGGCAGATTCTTTACCACTGACTGAGTGGAACACCCCATCTGACTCCAAACTATCATCTAAATAAAGGACTTTTGTAAGTAGACCAACGGCCTTATTTAGTTAAGAAAGGAAGCGAAATATCAAGGCATCATATTTGTCCAACAATACAGCTGTATTTGATTGAGGTAATCCTATGGACTTGAAATGTTTCATCCCCCACTTCCTCCAAATCTCTATTCCAGACCAACTTGCATAACAGGTAGTAGTTTGTTGGCAGATAAATGAACTTCAAGGTGCCTGGCTTAGAGTTCTTCAGTTTATTCTTTCTGTGCTTTCAATGATCTCACTGTTCTGGCTGCAGTGTGAAGCGGGAACAGAAAACTGGCAGCGGGTGAACACAGAGCTCCCTGTGAAATCTCCCCGCTTTGCTCTCTTCGACTTGGCTGAGGGGAAATCCTACCGTTTCCGAGTCCGCTGTTCTAATTCGGCAGGAGTTGGTGAGCCGTCAGAGGCAACGGAAGTGACCGTGGTTGGCGACAAGCTTGGTAAGTGTAGAGTTCGCTTGAGCTGCTGTAAACTTATTTAACTTCAATTCGAGAGAAAATTTAAAGGCAAGAATCGTACTGAAATACATATATATTCAAAAGTAAAAATGGTGACAGGGTTTTTCATATTATAAATTTAACTGATGACTGCTTGACTGATATGTTAAAAAGAACTTCATGTGTGTGTATTAGTTGCTCAGTCATATCCGACTCTTTGTGACCCCGTGGACCTCCTCTGTCCATGGAATTCTCCAGGCAAGAATATTGGAGTGGGTTGCATTTTCTTCTCCAGGGATCTTCCTGACCGAGGGATCGAACCCAGGTCTCCTGCACTGAGGCAGATTCTTTACCACCTGAGCTACCAGAGAAGCACCCCTCCCCCCCCCCAAAAAAAACTTTATGAATGATTATGAAAGTACTTTCTCCAGGAGTTTCAACAGTATTGCTAGTGTACTTTTTTCCTGGAGGGGATTGATATGTCCATGGATGTTTAGTTTCTCACTATGCTCCCAAACTAGAATATTTAAAACATTTTCTGCTCTAACAAATATAAAGAACTGTGTGTTTGACGTGGTTACTAGTATAATATTTATATATGCATGTTCATGTTTCTGCATGTGTGATAAGAATGAAGTTTTAAAACCACCTTGAACTTGACCATCATTTTCTTCTTTTCTCAGACATCCCCAAGCCTCCGAGCAACATCATCCCAAGCAGAAACACAGACACATCAGTGGTTGTTACGTGGGAGGAACCCAGAGATGCTAAAGAGCTGGTCGGGTACTACATAGAGTCAAGCATTGTTGGCTCTGGCAAGTGGGAGCCTTGCAACAACAACCCTGTGAAGGGCACAAGGTAACCGCACTATGTCGGGAGGTGGGCTGGGGTTCTGACGCTGGAGTCACAGGGGCTGCAGAGAAGGAATGCAGCCATGGGCCCGACAGCAGCACAAACATCCAACGCAGGGAGATTATTGAAAACATTATGCTCCGAGTATCCAAATGAATTCAAAATTGAATGTGTCTATGGCCATACATTTGAAAAAAGGATTACTTAGTGACATTGAACACTTAGAAACCCACAATGGCGGCTATGATAAGAGGTCATTTCATAGCTCTTTTCTGATTCTTTCACTTTATACTGTATGTCCTTTGAAACCTTCTGTTCACTTTTAATATCTGCTGTGATACTAGATTCCAAGGATCTAATAGACCCTAGTGAATATAAATTATCCAGACATTTTGTTTTATTTTATTATCTTTTAAAATTCAAGTACAAGTAATCTACAACACTATGTTAGTTCCAGGTGCACAACTTAGTGATTCAGTATTTCTATACATTACCAAATGATCTCCACAATAAGTCTAAGCACCCACTGCCATCATTGCAAAGCTATTACAGTATTATTGACTATATTCCCCAGGCTATACATATCATTCCCATGACTCATTTTTTAACTGGAAGTTTGTACCTCTTAACCCTCTTCGCCTATTTCATCAACCTCCAACCCTATTCGCCTCTGGCAACCACCTGTTTGTTCTCTGTATCTAAGAGTCTGTTTCTGTTTTGTTCTGTTTGTTTATTTGTTTTGTTTTTTAGATTCTACATAGAAGTGAAATGAAGTCATACAGTATTTGTCTTTCTCTATTTGACTTATTTCACTTAGCATAATACCCTTTAGGTTCATCAGTGTTGTAAATGACAAGCCTCCATTCCTTTTTACGGTTGAGTAATATTCCATTGTATGTGTATGCCACATGTTCTTTATCTATTCATTATCAGTGGAAACTTAGGTTGCTTTTATATCTTGGTTACTGTCAATAATGCTGCAGTGAACATAGGGACAACATGTATCTTTTCAAATTAGTGTTTCTGTTTTCTTCAGAAAAATACCCAGAAGTGGAACTGCTAGATGATATGATAGTTCTGTTTTTAATATTTTGAGGAACCTCTATACTCTTTTCCATATGCCAATTTACATCCCACCAACAATGAGCATTCCTTCTCCTCCACATCCTTGCCAAGACTTTTTGTTTCTTGTCTTTTTGAGAATATTCATCCTGACAAGTGTGAGGTGATAGCTCATTCTGGTTTTGATTTGCATTTCCCTTATGGTTACTGATGTTGAGCGTCTTTTCATGTGCCTATTGACCATCTGTATGTCTTCTTTGGGAAAATGTCTATTCAGATTCTCTGCCCATTTTTAAATTGGGTTGTTTGGGGAGGGTTTGATATTAAGTTTTATGAGTTCTTTGTATATTTTGGATATTAACCCCTTATCAGATGTGTCATTTGCTCATATCTCCTTCCATTCAGTAAGTCGCCTTTTCGTTTTGTTGATAGTTTCCTTTGCTGTGCAAAAACTTTCTCATTTGCTGTAGTCCCGTTTGTTTACTTTTCCTTTTGCTTTCCTTCCCTGAGGAGACAGATCCAAAAAAACTTTGTAAGACCAAGGTCAAAAGGTATATGGCCTATGCTCTCTTCTAGGACTTTCATGGTTTCAGGTCTTGCATTTAAGTCTAATCCATTTTGAGATTATTTTTGTGTATGATGTGAGAAAATAGTCCAGTTTGATTTTTGTTCATGTAGCTGTCCAGTGTCGTAAATTATGCCTGCATTTTAAATGAGGAGAAAAAAGTATTGGTATTGTATGAATTTTGAACATCAGTATGGTAAATCCAATGCTGAGGAGATAGACACAGACCAAAATAAAGACATTCAGAATACTTAGTGATCTTGTATCTAGTTCTAATGTAAGGAAGGTTATTTATTTTTTTTCTTCTTGCTTTTGAACATTTTGCCAACCAGCTTTGTAAACTGATGACGAATTCTGGCCTACACCCAAATTCCGAGTCTCCTTTACTTTAGGATCAATCTCAGGGGAGAATCCCCCCACCCCATTGTCAAGCAGGTCTGTTAGGCAGCTTCTGGGGTGGCCACTTCTATTCCAAGAACCCCCATAGATGGAGTCATTCCTTTGCAGAACATGAGAGAATGAAGACAAACCAGTTAATGGGAAAAGGCAGTATGTTTTGCAAGAGATTAATTTAACCTGTTTGCGCACTTCGCGTTTACTCTGAGTTTCCTGCATTTTCCAGGGACTGTTCAGCGACACTGAAGTGCAGACACTGAAGCTCGGTGTCTGCGACACTGAAGTGCAGACACTGAAGCTCAGTGTCTGCGACACTGAAGTGAATGTCTACTGAACTGAGCCGGCTTACACTATGGCTGCCTGTATTAAATATTTCAACTTGCTGAGAGTGGCAGAGTCACCAGCAGGACGCAACTTCCTCTACTTACCGTCCTTCAGGATGGATTAGAATGTTACTGTGATTCATGAAACAGGGTTTTGTTATAGCCCTGATAACTATTAAAAAAGTGAGGTTGTTTTATGTGTGAAACTGCCCATGGATTCACACCTCATTACTGAATCCTGAAAATGTACATGACAATTCTGGAGTCAATTTTTCACCTAATTTTCAGATCCTAGTGTAATTTTTCAAGTAATTTTACCTTTCATGGCATGCAGGGAGGCAGCGAGTAGGCAGCCAATGCTTTAGAGCTATAAATATAACCCTGAAATAATCATTAATAATGTTATTAATACCACCTATTATTTAGTCAGTGCCTCTTATATCCAGGGCCTGTAATGGGTACTATTATACGTTTTAAAATTAATTTTTAATTTTTTATTTAAGTGTAGTTGATTTATAATATTTCATGTATATAGCAAAGTCATTCAGTTTATATATAGATATAGATATTCTTTTCAAATTCTTTTCCATTATAGGTTATTACAGGACATTCAATATAGTTACTTTTACTATTCAGTAGGACCACGATATTGATCTATTTTATATATAGTAGTGTGCCTATTAATCCCAAATTCCTAATTTATTCCTCCCCCTGTACTATATATAATTTATGGTCAATCTTCACACAAGAGTTATTATGTAGGCATTATTTTTCCATTTTACTGATAAGTACACACAGGTTCAAAAAAAGTAGGGTGTTTATTCAGAGGAAAACCAGGACTCCTCATTGTTTAACAGAGTGAATTTAGGAAATTGCCTGAGATGCCTTCTTGTTTAATATACATATGTTATCTGGATCTCTCTACATCCTTTTCTTCCTTTTAAAAAAAGAATGGTTTTCATAAAGCCAGATCATTCTGTTAAGATAACAATCATCTTCCCTAATTTTCCTCCTGGGAAACTTTTTAAAAATTTTCTTCCCTTTCAGATTTACTTGTCACGGATTGAAGACCGGTCAGAGTTATATTTTCCGGGTCAGAGCAGTTAACGCAGCTGGACTTAGTGAATATTCACAGGATTCAGAAGCAATCGAAGTAAAAGCTGCTATTGGTAAGTTCTTCGTGCACAGCTTTACATGGGGGGAAATGAATTTTTCTAAGTTACAATGAAAGATACCATCCTCTCCAGAGACTATGTCAAGTTTCTAATACGGCTCAACGATCCCATCCTCAGATGGTCATTGTCTCTGATTCCAGGTGACTTCTAACCTTCCACAGCTGTTCTTTTACAGATCTCCATCACTTATCCAGATTCTGTGCTTCTGTAGCCTTTCCATCTTCATCAGCCCAAGTTTCCTCAGATATTCCCATTGTGTGAAACTCCATTTTAACGTGGTGCTCATCCTGGGAATATAGAGGGCCATCCAATGCCATGAGGTGGTGTATCACCCATAACCAGATCATCTCATACCTAAAAGCCATTCCCTCTGCAGCAGAGCCTGGCTTGTTTTCAGTAACAGCACATTAACCTGCCTTCTATAAACTCTGCTAAAATTCGTGCAAGACATGCGTGGTTGCTTAATCATATGTTTCATCTCTGCTGGCAAAGTAACCAACAGAATAAAACCAGTAATAAAGTAATTATATGTATGTATAATGATGTGCCTCCCAATCTTAAGGTGGGGAAGGGACCCAGGTAGTTCAAACAATAAAAATGAAATCTGTGATATAGTAGCACATATGTAAAGAGAAAGATTATTTAATACCAATTGTCTTCAGTTAGCATCTTGTATTACTTTTTTCTTTTGTCACAAGGCATGTGGGATCTTAGTTCCCCAACCAGGGTTGGAACCAGTACCCCCTGCAGTGGAAGCACAGTCTTAACCACTGGATCTCCAGGGAATTCCCCTGTATTACTTTTTAACATTCCTTATAATATGTTCGTATTATAAGGACATAGTGAACATGTTTCTTTGAGATTGGGAGATACAGACCATTACTATATCAATAAGGTACATAACTCTAATTGTTACATAATCAAGATCTTTGTTCGTCTCTTGTGCACTCCCCTCACCCCCCATTCTGTTGAATAATGGAACTTATATTTCTCAAGAAATGTCTGAGAAGTGCTTGTTCTTATATTTACTTGGGTCCTGCAAATCCAAATGGTTCTTGTTCTGTCTCTGGTTTTTTGTTCTCATTTCTCCTTTTTCCCAAATATAGAGAAGTTGAAATGTTTCCTTGGTGTTAGTTATGTGAAATGTTCGCTTTTCATATTTCTTGCAAATTCAGGTGATTTCCGTTAAACCAAGATTGTTTTTGTTCTGTGTGAGGTGCTAATGTTTTTCTCTTTTGTTCTAAGAGCGATGTGTACTGCGTCCTGGCTCAAAGTGTTTCTGTTGTTATCTGGCAATTGTAGGGGGCGGAGTGTCTCCAGCTGTGTGGCCTGAGATGAATGAGACACCTGGTGGACTAACAGACTCCAGGGGAGGCATGCATGACACCTCCCAGCCAACCTTTAAGAAAGATGCTTTGCTTGGTAGCAAACTTAACAAACCTTCACTACCCAGTAGCGCTCACAACCTGGGCCAAACAGAAGTGAGTAAAATAAGTGAAACAGTTCAGGAAGTGCTTTCCCTGCCATCAAAGAAAGCAGCCCTTGAGGGGAAAAGTAAGTCTGAGCCTCTGAGAAAGAAGAAGGACCTAGGTGAGCGCTGAAACAGTAAGAGCGTCTCATCTGTTCACATCAGTGTCCTCACGGCTCATTGTCCATATCACCTTCTTCCATCTGTGTTCACTTTCATCAGTGTTCATTCTTAATTTTATGTGTTTTCAGTTACCCATTTGTAATACCTTTGTTTAATGAGTCATAGAAGTAGTTTTCTCTGAACTTGGCTTTGACACATAATTCATTGTGCTTAATGACAATAGAAATATTTAAAGTAATTTGGTTATTGAGTCCCTTCTAACTTGTCAAACAGACACACCTTTGGCCTCATTTTGCTGAGAGTTAGAGATGAGAGCAGGGAGAATTCGATAATTGTAGCCTGTAAGAGGTCCTTCAAAATATCGTTTTGGTAAATGGATAGGAAAAATATTTCACAAAGAACAGATATTTTATTAGGGTCATAGTTATTAACTTCTATTATTTATCCTTAGGTTTTCAAATTACCTTCACATTTAATCCAAATAAACATAAGTAACAATATGTCTTTGGGTTGTCATGAAAAGTTTAACATGATGTTATAATCACATATTGCTATATTCAATTATGTATTATTCACATTCCCAGAACTAAGACTATTTATCAGTAAGGCTAGTTATCTAACCAGAATTAAAACAGAAAGACTAATTACAGTAATCAGATTTTTTTTTTCATTTATTTTTATTAGTCGGAGGCTAATTACTTTACAATATTGTAGTGGTTTTTGCCATACATTGACATGAATCAGCCATGGACTTACATGTGTTCCCCATCCTGAGCACCCCTCCTATCTCCCTCCCCAAGTAATCAGATTTTTTATCAGGATATTTGGTGCTTGTGGTTTGTATATTCTAGGAGACAATGTTTCTCTTATTGAATAAAAAATAGTTAATAAGTACATACTGACAAATTGTAAGATGCCTCTCACCCATCCCCTATACCTACCTCACCTCTAACTTCTGTAACCTCTGCTTTTTGACACCTTTATTTACCCCTTTAACTCAAAATGAGATGGGGTGAACTCATTTGAGAATTCATATTCAACACTGCTCTGAGACAGAGAGAGAGAAAGAGTTTTTAAAGGTAAAGAATGCAGGAGGTTGGTGATGGGAGGAAGAGAGGAAAAATGTGGTTTTTTTTTTTTTAATCTTTATTGTTCTGAGAATCTTTTTGAATAAGAATGAGATGGTTCCTATCTCTGGTAACCCACATAAATATTCAGAAAATTCTTTCTAATGTTACTGCATATCGAGTGGATTTCTTTTCACCAACCACCCTCTCTTTTTTTAATCAGAAAAACAGTATTTTCAATAGTTGAGAGAAAGTTTGATCAGCAAAGCCACATAAATAAAGGGAAACTTTTAAAGTAGTATCCAAATATTTTCCTGACTAAGCGCTAATAAACATAGTGACAGCTATGTAGTATTTCATGCCATATGAATAATAATCCAGTATCAGGTTTAAAATAATGGAGTAAAAGGTGTTATACTAAGAGAAGAATCACATGGAAGAATGTTCCTGGTTTAAGAAAAAAAATTAATGCTGCATTTAGCTGAGCTCCTGAATGTGATTTTTCCTGTGTATAGACAGAACTTATATAATTGTAAGGTCTCATATGGGTGTATGTATCTGAGTGGTGAAATGCTAGCTGTTTGGAAATATATGGAAATTCTTAATAAGTGAATTAAGGCAGAAATTGATATACGTATGCCATTTTTCTCAGGGAGCAAATAAAAACAAAGCCGCATAAAAAAACTAAAATATCTTACACTTTAATGCTATTGTTTTAGGAATGAAGAGATCGTATGTACCTCTGTCCTAAAATTTGGAGTTGAGATACATAAAGCAAGATGAAAACTAAGCAATACAAATATGTAAAGTGTTATTTAAAAAAAAATATTTTGGGGAAATATTTCTGCATATGGGGAATGAATCATTCTTCAGAATATTGTTAGTTTTTTCAGGATTTTGTTAGAAACACTAACATTTTGCTGTTAATATTCAAAGCTTCTTTCTTCTTGGGAATGAAGAGGGGCAGGTTCTTTTTATCTTTGGAATAATAGCTGTGGTGCAGTTTTTACTGTATGTCAGTTTTCTTCCTTGAACATCAAATGGACACCAAGTTGCTTACTGGTATTACCTTTTAGTTTTACACTCAAGACCTAGTGCCCTCCCGCATGGCATCAGTGAAACAGTTTGATGGACGTAGAATCACAGAAGCAGTTCTGTCCACTCACAAGCTCTTCATGTTACAACAGCACCACCATCTCCACCCTGTGACATCACCTGTCTCGAAAGTTTTCGTGATTCAATGGTTCTTGGATGGAAGCAGCCAGATAAGACTGGAGGGGCTGAAATTACGGGCTATTATGTGAACTATCGTGAAGTAATCGACGGGGTACCAGGAAGATGGAGAGAAGCCAACATCAAAGCCGTCAGTGATGAGGCATATAAGGTAAGTGTGTGGCCTTCTGTGGGCTTCCCAAGTGGTACTAGTGGTAAAGAACTGCCAGTGCAGGATACATATAAGAGACGCAGGTTTTATGGAGGCTTCACTACATAGACTAGATTGATTAAATCATTGGCCACTGGTGCCTGAACTTAATCTCCAGACCATCTTCCCTCTCCAGAGGTCCTGAGGTCTGGGATGAGGCTGAAAGTTCCCGCCCTCTAAGCACATGATTAGTTGCCCTGGCAGTCAGGCCCCATCTTTAGATGCTTTCTGAAAGTCACCTCGTTAACACAGTAAAAGATGTTTGTCGCTCTCATCACTTGGGAAATTCCAAGAGTTTTAGGGGCTCTGTACCAGGAATGGAGACAAAAGACAAAACATGTATTTCTTATTATAAATTGCAGTATCACAGTCAGGATAATCTATCTCCCTTTGGATTAACTCAAAACCAACTGATTAGTAATCTTAATTACATATGAAATGTATCTCCTCCTTTGCCATTTGATGCAACACAATCACAGCACTATTCCAATACTCTGCCCTGTTCTGTTGCCCAGAAGCAAGTCTCAGGTTTCACCTACATTCAAGAGGAGATTACAAGAAGGGTGTGACTCACTGGGGATCATCCTAGAGTATGTCCAACACATACTCTAAATAAATGCAATGTTGAAACAAACCTGAAACCTTCACTCTGTGATGCTGTCCATGTTGCAGATTAGCAACCTGAAGGAGAACATGGTGTATCAGTTCCAAGTGGCGGCCATGAACATTGCCGGGTTGGGAGCGCCCTCAGCAATAAGCGCCAGCTTCAAATGTGAAGAATGGACCATTGCTGTTCCAGGTAACTCGGGGAGACTGTGTCTCAGCACTGAGGCACAGAGCTTCTTCCAATGGATCCTACAACCTGGAACTAAATTTAAGTGCTACATAGCTTCTAAGGGAGACTCAGCCCCTCATGTTTACATAAAATATTTTTACAAATCTATTAATAGGAACCAATATAAAACTGAGTATAAATTTCTTATATCCCAGATAAATCCTAGAGTCCCCATAGCTCAGCCTCTGTATGGAGTAAGATGGACAGAGCACCTGGGTTGAATGCTACTTGATTATTAAACAGAAATACCCATCTTTGCTTGTGCTTCTTAAAGAGCATTGAAAGACATTCAATTCACACATCCCAGCTAAATTTCTCTAAAGCGTCTTCCTGCACTCCTGAGTTGTCGCACATTCTCTCAATGCTCTGGAGCCTCTCATTTATCAATCTCCCCCAACCCCCTTCCCCAGACCCAGCCTCCATGGCCTCCTTCCTGTTGTCTCCTCCTCCCTGGATCCCAGCTCTTCACTATACACACAGGGCACCCCATGTGCCTGCCTAGGACTTAAGTCCTGCCCTGATCCTCTTAAATCTTTTACTTACCTCCCCAGCCCTGTCTCTCTATGTCAACTTTTCCCCATCTCTGCATCACAACAAAGATCCTGGAACCGAACTGGAAATACTCTACTTCGGAGATTGTCATAGAGGGTGGTCGGCTGAAAAAAATAGGGAGAAGCAAGAAACATTCACCTATGCCTTTAACTCTTACACAGTTACAACAGTGAACAAATCTAAAGACTGAATACTAACTAATTTGCCAAGTCATTAAGAGTCAGACTGTGCTTAGTCTCTCAGTCATGCCTGACTCTTTGCAACCCCATGGACTGCAGCCCATCAGGATCCTCTGTCCATGGGGGTTCTCCAGGCAAGAATACTGGAGTGGGTTGCCATGCCTTCCTCCAGGGGAATCTTCCCAGCCCAGGGATCCAAACCAGATTTCCCGCATTGCAGGCGGATTCTTTACCGACTGGGCCACCAGTGAAGCCCAGTGTCAGAGTAGCAACATTAATGTATTTGGTGGATGGTTTTATTCTGCTTCCAATGTCACTAACTTTAAAGACCCAAATACTTTAGTGCCACAGAATGACTAAGCTCTCCCACTTGGGTTTGATATTCAGCTTGTTTAATACCTGCTGTGACACCAACATCTACCACATTGGAACCCCAGTCCACCCTGGGCACACTGAATGGACCCAGTCTGGTCCCAGGGCCACCGTCTTCCTCTGGTGAGACCTTAGCACCCTTGGAGAACTGTATTTTTGCCTTAGCTTAGCCAGTATCCATATGCATCACATCTCGATCGCGTGTGAGTACAAGGATTACAAAAGAAACTCAAGAGAAGTTCAAGTGTTCACTCAGGTTCAGTAAATCCAAGGGGTAAACACACTGCCTTTCCTAGCACTTTCTTGAAGCTGGTGCTATTTGTTAAGTTCTTTCTGCCTCCTACACAAAAGTGGGTCTGTTTTTAAATTCTTGCAATTCCCGAATAAAATTAAAATGTGAGTGACTAGAGACCAACAAATTCTGAGCAAGCCTATGGAAAATGATCTGATAGAAAGCGATGTAGTTAGCAAAAGAAGTTGCAGGGTGAGTGCTCCCAAATCAGAGGAGAAATGAATGGGGCAGTTCTCCATCCCCAAGACCTGTCTATTCCCAGATTCACACTTGACTTACTGAGAAGTGTTGGGCAAATCATGAGTCAAGAAAGCCTGATGACAGATGAGAGCATTTAGGACGTTTTGTCATCCCTTTGTTTTACAGATGAAGAAACAGACTCAGGTTAAATGATAATCAGGGGGTCACAAAGGCACTAAGTGGCAGTTAGGTTTGTAAGCTAGGTCTGCTCATTCTTAGACTTGGAGGTTAGGAAGCAGCAGTGCGGTGGTCCTCGCCTGGAAAACAGGGCTTGGGCTACTGTTAGGATAGCTCCCTGGCTCCTGAGGATGACAGAGGACAACGGTCATGGAAGCTATCTGCATAACAGAACATGCCATGCCAGGGTAAGGTACTAGTGTTATTGTTTAAACCTATTTCCACACCAGGCATCATCAGGAGATGATGACTCATTGTGACTGTTAAGCCGAGGTCAAGGGCCCAGCCAACATTGAGCGATCCATAGCAAAACCCCAAGGCATAACACGATGGAGTTCGCACTTGTCATTGGCTCTCAGGCCACCACGAGTCAGTTCAGGTGATTTGGATTGGTTGGTTAGAAATCACTTGTTATTAAAAAAAAAAAAAAAAAAAGGAAAACAAATAACTGTATCACTTGCATAGCAGCTGATAGTCATGCAAAGATTGTCTTGCAGGTAATCACTGAGTAGCTGGGCGTCTCCCAAGAGTGCAAAGAACACACACAGGGAATGTTTGGTTTCCTTCCAGAACAGGTTGATCAAGTTCCTTGGCTTCCCTGAGCTTTCTGTTAGTTGTCTTAGGAAGGGATGAGATAAAAGAGTGTTAAGTGCCTGGTAAGGTTTAGCACAGATTCAGGGCCCATGGAATTGAATGTATTTGTTTTGGTGAAAGTTCTTTGTAACCACAAGTGTAGTTTGTTTTTACCCCATACGAAATATATGCTTTATGGGTATCCTTCCAGTGAGGAGCTATTTTGCAATAAATTTGTTTTTCTTTTTGAAAAAACTGTATTTATTTATTATTTTTGGCTGTGTTGGGCTCAGATGGTAAAGCATCTGCCTACAATGCGGGAGACCCGGGTTCAATCCCTGGGTAGGGAAGATCTTCTGGAGAAGGAAATGACAACCCACTCCTTTACTCTTGCCTGGTAAATCCCATGGACGGAGGAGCCTGTAGGCTACAGTCCATGGGGTAGCAAAGAGTCGGACATAACTGAGCGACTTCACTTTCACTTTGGGTCTTCACTGCTGGGTGTAAGGGCTGTCTCTAGGTGTGGTGTGTGGGCTTCTCATTGTGGTGGCTTCTCTTGCGGAGTACAGGCTCTAGGGCATGCAGGCTTCAGCAGTTGCGGCTCCCAGGCTTTAGAGCACAGACTCAGTAGTTGTGGTACACAGGCTTAGCTGTCCTGAGGCACGTGGGATCTTCTGGGTCCAGGAATCAAACCTGTGTCTCCTGCATTAGCAGGTTGATTCTTAACCACTGGACCACGAGGCATGTCCCATATACTTCTTTTTCTGTATTCACAAGCCATCAAATAGAGTTGTTTGCTTCATCATAATTGAGATTGGGGGACATTTTCAGATTGTCAGCCAAAAATAATCAGAAACTGAATCTGCAACCAAATTAAACTGTCCTGGTAAAAGGTGAGGAACACAGGCCTGAGGACAGCCTGAGGGCAACGCTTCATCCGGCCGCTGGAGGGCACCTCGAACTGGCCTTAACCACTTGCTGCCCGTAAAGGGTCTTAATAGGCTGATGTAGTTGGTATGAAATGACTACAAAATGCCTGTTTCCATGGGAATAGTAGATTTTACAAGAGAAGAAGACCAGTATAAGTTTCAGTTTAAGACTGTGAATATGCCTCTAGGTTTACACACAATGGAGTTTTCTTATCTCCATTATGATTTTTACACATGGGTCTCTCTGTCTTTCGCTCTTCAGGACCACCGCACAGTCTCAAGTACAGTGAAGTCAGGAAAACCTCCCTGGTTCTGCAGTGGAAGCCTCCCATCCACTCAGGACGGACTCCAGTCACTGGCTACTTTGTGGACATAAAGGAGGCCAGTGCCAGAGAGGACCGGTGGCGAGGACTCAATGAGGCGGCTCTGAAACACACATACCTGAAGGTCAGAGGATGCTCACAGTTTGAGAAAGTTTCCCCCCCCCCTCTCTTTCTTCTTCTTTTTTTTTTTTTTAAAGAAAAAGGGTTCTTCTAACAGGGTAATTTTAAAGTCAATGAGATAAAGCAGAGCATCTCAGTGTTGGTTGGTGTCATGTGTTGGGCTCCTGGTAGGCTTCCATTTGGCGGTGGGTGGGGTTTGGGGAAGTTTCTGATGCTTAAACCAATTTGTTTATAATTTGACCCAAATCTCTTTGCCTGGCTTTAGAAATTACCTCTCCTCTCTCTTGTTTTCCTCTTCACCTCCACTTACCCACCTCATATCTTCACTACTTCCAGTCTTAAGATGTTATTACTTACTATCCTGACATTCTCATTCCTACCTGACATATTTTTGAGGGTGTTTTTGATTTGAGGGTGTTATTTGCATAGAGTTCACACCTGTGAGCCTTGAACTCCGATCCCTTGAGTCATGCATGGCCTCACCTCACCTGCCCTCTCTCACCTGTGCTCACGTGAGCTCTTAGGGACCAGAAGAATGACTCAACTCTTGACCTTGACCTCACCCTTATCCATGTCACTGCCTTCCAGTTTCCTCTAGGGTGTTCTAACCAAACCAGTTTCTAACTCCCATCTACCAGAGATGGTTCTGCTATAGCCACTGACCCTCTCACTAGGACTAAATGGAAACTTCAAAAGCATGTTTTCCCCTATTGTCAGTCATGGCATATGGACACCCCAAGTCCAGAGCAGAGCCTCGGAAACTGTAGGGAGTGTGACTCCGATTCCCGTTACTCAGAATGGAGTGTGACTGTTTGATCACAGTCAGACAGAGTGCTGCCCAGGCATTCAATGTGCAGCCTTATCTGCTGGCGGAATAGGCCCTTGCCCAGAGGGAAGGCCTTGGGGGTTTCTCAGAGTATACCTACTTTAAGAGACTTCTCTTGTCAACCTGCCACTAGAGTCAACACCATCTGTCAGAGAGTGCCCTGGGGGTTAAGACATTTTTAGTCCCCATAAAAACATAGATATATTCTCCAGGAGAGGTGACTCTTAAACTGTTACACCCAACATGCCATTAACTCAGCTTAGCACATGCAGTAAACTCGCCAGCCCCTTACAAAACCGTGAGGAGATAAGGAAGGTCACATTTCCTGGGGCAGAGAAAAGGTCAAGGAAGTTCTGGAGCTAGGATGCGGTTTATCTGTCCAGAGAACCAGGAGGCCTCTGGATGCAAACACACCCAAAAGTCAGTGTAAAACAGAGGTTGGACACATCCTAGATGGTGGTGGTGTGTGCGTACAGCTCCCGTGACCTCCAGATCCTCCATCAGCCATAGCACAGGGGTCCCAACAGTCCCACATACAGGAGCCAAAGGGGCCCGGAGCCTAGAAAAAAATGGACAGGAGGAAGAAATAAGAGAGTTTAAGCAGATCAAAGAATGGTTAATGTCACTCATTAAAAAAAAAAAAAAAAAGACAAGAAACAGAAGAAAGGCAAATTTAGGGGGAAGAAGGAGATTGAGGTTGAGTGCCTCTCCCAAAACAGAAGATGAACTCTCTGTAAGGAAATGACCTTAGAATTTGGCCACAATTTTTAAAGTGAAAAAAAGAGTATTGACTTTTCTGGTTATAGAATGGATAGATGTTAATGATGATAAATTCAAACAGTAAAGACATAAGGAAAAAAAAGTTGAGGTTCCCATAATCTCCCTACCTGTGGTGATGTGGAGTCCCTCTTTCAGGTGGTTCATATCTGGAAAAGTTTCAAGACTGAAATGGAGAAAAAAATGTACACATTAAAAAACTTTATCAAGTTTAGATGAAGAAAGGAGATATGTTAATAACTCCAGGAACAGGAGATTTTAGCACCATTGCACAGAACTTAGTGGGCTAGCTGTTTTCTGCCAGAAGCACCCCTGTTCATGTGTGCATGAGTGTCTGGGGGTTCCTAGATGGAGTTAAAGGTGTGTTGCTTTACATCAAAAAATTAACCAGCTGAGCTCACACTTCCTTTTTTATTGGTAATTACAATCTGCTGAGACAGTGTGGTGAGAAGGGAGTGAATAATTGGAAGGGGTAGGGGACAAGGATGAAGAATGCAAGGGAATGCAGTTCTTCCAGAAATTTTAAGGAGGAAAACAAACCTAAGAAAGGGGAAATAGATGTGATGTGTGCACATGTGGCATATCTCCGGTGCTTTAAGCCTAGTGGTCATTGCCCTGCAGTCATGGAAGGGTACAGGGGTGTGCCTGCCACCCCAGCGACTGGACACGGGATGTGTGGATCTCCTTCCTGTGCTGTGTTGCAGAAATCTAACTCACGGTCACAGATTACCTGAGTGGCAGGTGCAGATGTGACAGGCACCTGGCAACTGGTCTATTTTTATCACAACAAGGAAGTGTTTCTGTTCCTTTTTGTAGATCCACAGTTGCCTGACATTATCTCTAAACATGGACTTTAAATACATCAAACTCTATGCATTTAGCGTGTGCCTAAATTCCTGTTCATTTACAGATTAAAATCATTTTAAAAATCCATTAGCTCCAGTAAAAGCTATCGTAACAGTAACATTCTGTTATCATAACTGTAGCATAGTGTTATCATAAACACAGCACAATTAAATCATTAGATTAAAAACCCAACAATTTAATACATAGCTCACCTAAATCCATGGTCACAAACACTTTGCTTGGCTGAGTAAATATGTTCTAGCTTTGTGTGATTTAAATCCCATTTTGGATGTTAATCTCCATCACAAGACTATGGGAAAAACTGTGTCCTCTGTGTATAATAAATTCCTTCTTAAAGTACAATATAGGTTTTAAAAGTCAAATGTTTTAAAAAAGATAATTATTGTAGAATGTTGATAATACTTATACTGTTTCTTTCTTTATGAGACTATGCTGAACCCAAAGAGAGTCACAAAAATTTATGAAGTGGGACTGTCATATAAAGGCATATTATAAATATTCTTTTTTACTTTCCTCACGCTCTTGTAACTCTAGCTCAGTGGTACACTTATAATGTAGGTCCTCAGCAAACATCTTCTTGATGCATGACAATGTGAGGACCTGAAATTTGAATACATTTGACTATTCACAAATTACCGAAATTTGCAGCCATGTTAGTTGCTTGTCTATTTAGTGAGAAATAGCTATATTAAATTTACAAGGACAGTTTCTATTTGTTTTTGTTCTAATGCTTTAACATGCTTTTAAACAAATGGAAAGCGATGCATGATCTAAGATCCATGCTTGTAATTCCCCTCTCCTGCCAGAACTTCTATCTGAAATTACTCTGGAATATTCCAAAAGGACCAGGAAAAGAGGGCAGCCCATATGCTCTTGTGAGCACTTTGTCATTTGACCAAAGAATAAGGTGGTTAACGCCTATAAAACATACGGGTATCAATCTCCTATTTCTGATGCTCGTGGCTGTTAAATTATCTAAAAAAGAGAGAACATCTCTGAGTTTCAAGGGATCTTGGAAATGTCTAATTACACATGGTTGGGAAAGAACAAAGTCTTAGCACACTTAGTCTCTGACAGGATGACGTTTAGAACCCAAATTTTGTGCTGTATAATTGAATCACCTCGACAGGGGAAGAGCACTTCTGTTCAAATGACACAGAGTAACCGTCACCTCTATACCTGCTTCTTCCAGGTGCAAGGCCTCAAAGAGGGTGAGAGCTACGTGTTCCGAGTTCGAGCCATAAACCAGGCGGGTGTCGGGAAGCCGTCTGAGCTTGCTGGGCCTGTTGTGGCCGAAACCCGCCCAGGTGGGCTTTTACTTTTTTGTTAAAGTTTACTCATCTGTGTAAGATACCAAAGTAACATTCAATCTTACTTCTATGTCTTTCCTCATTTTCAAAATCATCACTGTACACTATCCAAATGACTGATAAGTATGACAGTGAAAAGTGAAAGTCACTCAGTCGTGTCCGACTCTGCGACCCCATGGACTATACAGTTCATGGAATTCTCTATGCCAGAATACTGGAGTAGGTAGCCTTTTCCTTCTTCAGGGGGTATTCCCAACCCAGGGATCGAACCCAGGTCTCCCACATTGCAGCGGATTCTTTACCAGCTGAGCCACAAGGGAAGCCTAAGTATGACTGTCAGATGTGACAGTCATTTACCCCATCACAGGACCTCAGGGCAGGGGTGAGCCAGGTTTGAAATGGTTGCAATGTGGGAGACTCAGGTTCGATCCCTGGGTCTGGAAGATTCCCTGGAGAAGGGAATGGCTTACCTGCTCCGGTATTCTTGCCTAGAGAATTCCATGGGCAGAGAACCCTGGCGGGCTACAGTCCATGGGGTCGCAAAGAGTTGGACATGACTGAGCGGCTAACACTTTCACTTCACTTTTAGGGCTACTTTGGTTTGTACTTAAAAACATGGAAATTCTTGATCAAATTATGCTTCCTGGACCAACTGTTTAAAGTATACATTCCTGGGACATTATTTCTGTTATACAGTGGCCATTAACTCCCACAAGAATATTTTTCTACCACATTAGAAGCTGGAACAGCTCAGAGAGCAAACATGATCCTTAAACAAAAGTAGGGTTTATATCATTGTAGCTACTAAGTTAAACTAGGAATCAGCAGATTTTCTCTGTGAAGGTCCAGATAGTAAATATTTTCAACTCTATGGTTATATGGTGCCTGTCATTATCCTCAACTCTGCTGTGGCACAAAAGTAGCCGTACACAATACATAAATGAGTGAGTGTGGCTGTGTATCAGTAAAACTTTATTGTGCATGATAGATGCATTATATAATATGATAAATTATATGCATTATGAAATTTGAATTGTAACTAATTTTCACATCTTGAACTATTAATTTTCTTTGGATTTTTAAAAGCTATTTAAAAATGTAAAAACCATTTTTAGCTTTCAGGCCATACAGAAAGAGGCAATGGTCCAGATATAGCCCACGAGTCATAGTTTGCTGACCCCTGGGTTAAGCTAACAGCAGTCCTGACTGAATGATCTATAGAGCTGAGGCAGCCCTCATGGCCCAGTTTCCAGATGCCATGACTGGACTAGGAAAGACAGTCTTTCCCTTTGTTACGAGAACAAAGTTTACAGTGTTCACTGGGCAAATAGCTCCAGATCATTATATAATACTTATTTTGTCTTTTAGTCTCTATCACTTTTCAAAGTTATATATGTCAGTTCATTAAAGTTGCATGAAAGAAAGCAGTAGAAATGAGAGAGGATTAAAAAAGTACTAACCACCTATTTTAAGTTTATATTCATTCTAGTCAAGCACCCTCACTTCAACTCTTCCCTATTTCTAGATTGAAATAAAGAGCAGATATATAATGTGATATTTGTTTTTATGATAAGAAAAGAATGTAAATATAGAAAATTCTGCTCTCACTTCATGATGCTTAAAGAGAATATCAAATGCACCCTTTGAGAAAGTACCTGCCCCTTTCAACCTATTACTTCACAAACTACTTTCAGCTACTCTTGTAACTACCCTCTAGAGCTGGGTGCGACAGGAGTGACCTTCTTGTACCAAAATATAGTAGGTGTGTCAGGAGAGAGTGCCATACTTCATATAAGTGCTCTTTGCAAAATGTCATGAGAAAGCAGAAAAATGCTGGGAATGCATGTGCCAGATAAAAGGTAACACACAAAGACATGAGGACACAGATCTCTATAGAAATCATACCTTGCAGGTACCAACTGTGTAGAAATATAAGGTGCTGAGTGGACGTGCCGAAGGGCCCAACTGTGAGGCTACTCATGCAAGAACATTTAGATTACTATACAAATAAACTCTTAATCTAGTCATTGATGAGTTAAAAGCACCTGTTAAGCAGTGAATTGACTGAAGAAGTTTAAATTGATTTCTTGTTTTATCATCAATAACCCTTGGGATGGCAGATGGCCAGGCAGGACATTAGCAAAGCCACCATGATGGAAAGTTTACCTTCAAAAAGGGGTCTGCTGGTGGGGTCCTAGGGGAGAGTGTTGTTTCACTGGTGCAGAATAAGGCCCCCAAAGTCGATTTGTGGCCGTTTCATTCCCAGAATATAATTACAAACAACAGCTGCAGACTAAACAGCATCAGATTAACCTGCTCAGGAACCACTGGCTCCAACCTAGGAAAGATTCCTGGGACATACCAAGTCAAGATGCTGACCCGAAGCATTGCCACGGTGGTGGTTTAGTTGCTAAGTTGTGTCCGACTCTTGCAACCCCATGGACCGTAGCCTACCAGGCTGCTCTGTCCATTGGATTTCCCAAGCAAGAATACTGGAGTGGATTGCCATTTCCTTCTCCAGGGGATCTTCCCAACCCAGGGATCGAACCTGGGTCTCCTGCATTGCAGGCAGGTTCTTTAGCAACTGAGCCACCAGGGAAGCCTGAAGCATCGCCATGAAGGAGCCCAAACCCCGGAGACACTGGTTCTTGTTCCACAGGCAGCAGGCGCATTCATTCCTGCATGAATGTTCAGGCGCATTCATGTGCCTCCTGCACACCTGCTTCATGCCAGTGCTGTGTGGGCACCACGTGAGTAGAATAAAATGATGTCACTGCCTACTGAGCTTGCAATCTAGGGAAAATCAGTGTATAGCACAGCATGATGGAAGCCTGGACAGAGGGTCACAAAATATTGCCTATAGTTAAACAGGCTACAGACAAGGTGCTAAGGTTTCATAAATCCCCGTAGAAACTTAAATGCATTTTTTATTAGAGTATAATTGCTTTACAGTGATGTGTTAGTTTCTGCTATACAGAGAAGTAAGTCAGCTACAGGTATACATATATATGTATCCCCTTGATCTTGGACCTCCCTCCCATCCCACCCCATCCCACCCATTTAGGTTATCACAGAGCACCGAGAGCTCCCTGTGCTACATAGTAGCTTCCCACTAACATAACATTGTAAAGCAATTATACTCCAACAAAACCCCGAATAAATAGGAACACACAAGATTGACCAAAAAAAAACTATTATGTAGCCTATGGTTGTCTGCATTTACTAACTTTATTAAATGCCAAATTTTACTTTTAACCAGGTATTTATTTTATGCTAAAATATTTGGGTCCCGGGATGGGGGTTGAGGATCGGTTATCAGTTTCAGGGTTTGGAATGTGAGACTTGGATTGCTATTTCAGAAAAACAACTCTTTTTGGAACACATTATTAATATTTCAGACAGAAAATAAAGCTTATCATGTAACAGCAAACCTCAAATGCATCTGACAAGATACCTCGAGTGTAATTTGAATTCCAGGTAAAAGTTAACCTAATCCACTGGGGTTGGTAGGGCCACTGGTCTCCTTTTGAAGTTGACGAAAATGCCAGCAGATGTAACTCAGCCACTACAACACAGTCTGGTCATGCTGGTAACAAGGATCAAAAATGTGCCGTGCTTCCCCAAGAAGTCTGGTAGCTGAACAAGCCTGTATGAAGAATGAGCTGGAAAATATTTAGAGTAGATTTGTTGGTACATACAACACACTACTAGTCTTGATATTTGATCTGTTTTCAAACAGTGTCTGTGTGGATTGTGTCAGATCTGGGCTGCAGGTGGAGGCAAGATGAGCTAGATCAGAAGGAAGACAAGAAAGAGAACTGCCAAGGTGTGGCAGGTGATCCGGAGGGTGGAACTGGCTGCCTGTGTTCTTATCAGAAATCTTGCAGCAGGCAGGGGAACTGAGGTGAGAGGCAGGAGAACCCAGAGACAGGCAGAGTCCCCAGCAGGAACTGATTTACTGGAAGTCAGGACTTCTCACCAGGAGCAAGGCAGGCTAGAAGACTGGAGCTCCAAAAGGAATAATGAGCAGGGTTTGGGTTGACAACCTACTGACCAATCCCAGTTTCTGAAAATTGACTGCTCATAGAACCTGGTAGGGCTGAGGATGCTCAGTGGCCTTGAGGTGGAGTTCTGAAGATTCTAAAGCAGGAAGTCAGGCTGACTATTCAAGATTAGCTCAACTGGCTAATTTAGAGATCTTCACTTATATTTGCTCACTGTCCTCTTTTATCCATTACGAAGGTAATTTTCAACCTTAACAGTACATTTCATTAGAATCAGGTCAGGAACTTTTTGAAAATACTGACTCTATTTTAGACTATTGTCCAGACCAGTTAAATCAGAGTCTGCAGGACTGAGCCTGGGCATAGGCTTGTTTTTGTTTGCTTGTTTAGCTCCTTGGGTAATTCAAGTATGAAACCAGGCTTGTGAATTGTGCATTAGACTGTTCAGTTCAGTTCAGTCACTCAGTCGTGTCCAGACTGTCACTCAGTCTTTGCGAACCCATGGACTGCAGCATGCCAGGCTTCCCTGTCCATCACCAACTCCCAGAGCTTGCTCAAACTCATGTCCATCGAGTCAGTGATGCCATCCTACCATCTCTTCCTTTGTCATCCCCTTCTCCTCCTGCCTCCTCAATCTTTCCCAGCATCAGGATCTTTTCCAATGAGTCAGTTCTTCGCATCAGGTGGCCAAAGTATTCGAGCATTAGCATCAGTCCTTTCAATGAACATTCAGGACTAATTTACCTTAAGATGGACTGGTTGAATCTCCTTGCTGTCCAAGGAACTCTCAAGAGTCTTCTCCAACACCACAGTTCAAAAGCATCAATTCTTCAGCACTCAGCTTTCTTTATAGTCCAACTCTCACATCCATACATGACTACTAGAGAAACCATAGCTTTGACTGGATGGACCTTTGTTGGCAAAGTAATATCCCTGCTATTTATTTATTTATTTATTTTTTTGGTTCTCTCTCTCTCTTTTTTTTTTTAATAA